ATTTTGCATACAGGTAACTCAAGGCCGTGCTTTCCTCTTCCTTTCCACACACACCTCCCTCCCTCCCTCAGCGGTGTCCCGGCCCCGATCCCAGGAGGTCACACAGGGCAGGACAACCTCCGCGCGCCGCACGCTCTCCGCCGGGCTGCGGCGCCATCGCGCAGCCTGCTGGGCCGCGTAGTCTCGCGCGGTGCTTGGGGGTGGTGCCTGCTACCGCCTCCCTCACTCGTAGTTAGCGGCAGCCGCCCTAGCCAATCCTGCCTCCGTTTTTATGCCGAGTGGCGGCCGCCGTGGCCAATCACGAGCCCGCGTGGGGCCCCTCTGGACGCCGGGGCTAGAGGCGGTGCCCATGACTCTGCTGGAGGGCGCTGAGGTGGGAGCGTGGCGGAAGTAACGGTTTGTCATGGCAACTGCCGGTGGTGGGGTGGCGGCGCTCCCGGGGCGAAGGAGCTTGGGTGCCTCGGGTAGGGTCGTCGCCCCTCAGGTTTCTCCGCGTCTAGCCCTTGGCGGGCGCTGAGGATCTGCTGCGGCGCCGTGGAGGCGGGCGCTGGTGAGGCGCTGGTCTCTTCCCCCTGTGCCGCGTTGCTCTCCGGTGTGGTAAAGCATCGGAATAACAGCAGCAGCGGGACCGGTGGCACTAGGGGAAGAGGGCTGCCTTTGGGGAACGTGGGAGTGCTGGGGCCGCAGCGCGCTGAGAGCCAGGTGAATGGGCCCGGCACCGTCGAGCTCGGGGCTCCCTGCGGGACTGGTCGCGGAGGTGATGGGCCCCGGCTGCGGCGCTGCTCGGCGTTTCTGAAGGGCGAGGTGCCTCAGGGCGGTCCCTTGAGCCGGGCGTCCCCTGAGGTGATAGTGCTGGCTGCCAAAAGCAGTATAATGGCAGCGTGGTTTTCCGCTTCTCTGTGCTTTTTCTTTTTCCTGTAACTTGAAGAGACCTCCTTTTTAAAAATTATTTTTCCTCTACAAAAGGCCGTTCTTTGTTGAGGACAACATACACCAAGTTGGGAGAGGAGGCCAAAACCCCAAGTTGTGATTTTTAGTGAAGTCCTGTGTAAGGTTCCTTGTACTCCTGCCCTTTGTGCTGCTTTTGTCTGAGCTAGTCAAACTGTGTGCCTTCCAGCCTGGGTGGCAAACAGCCTATCTACTGCATTAGACCACCAGTCAGTAAATCACGTGTATCATTCATTGCCTTTTGCTGTACATCCTCAGTCCCTAGGATTTGTGATGTTATGGGCAACAATACCAATATAACCTGTTTCAGGTAATGCTGTATCTTGCCTCTTGCCTTATCTGCTGATCTTTTTCAGATCTTAGGTATTGGAAGGACTTACAGGCCCTGTGTTGCTTGCAAACAATCGCTGTTCTTAGGAAGTAACATAAAGCTTTAGCTACTTGTTTACTCTGTAGATACTGCATGTATTACAGTTTGGTTGCTGTGTCTCTTTTCAGATCACTATGAAGGCCTTGTATTGTCAGCAGAGTTCACCTAGCAAGGAAATTACATTTGTCTTCCAGGAAAGAGTGAGTTCCGATCATAATAGCACTATTAATCATTCAGTGGAAGAAGAGACTGTGTCTGAATTCCACAAGGGAATTGAAACACCTAACTCTTTTGTAGATTTAAAAAAGAGCTGGTGTAATCCTTGCACACACAGGCAGGTAAATGAAAGTAGAGGAGGTGTATTTTACCATCATTATGCTGCACTTGGCCAGACCAGTGCTAGATTTCTCTACAAAGTTTTGGTGTCTGTATTTTAAAAACAAGTTTTGCAGATGCAACAAATGAACTGTGACTTTATGTGGTTTCACATCTCCTGGATGGATTTTCTGGTCACTGAAAAAGTAGAAATATAGCTTGATAAATTTATTTTGTTTGGAATGTGCCTACTGTTATTTTCTTTCCTCTTGTGAGTTCTTTGCTCTTAGTGATGATTGAGATCACAATGCAGCCTTTCTCTCAGAGACATTGATTAGTCTCCTTTGTCTAGCTACCTATTTTCCTACAACTTAAAGGAACAACAAGAAGACAACTGTTGTTTTTGTCAAATTTAGCTGAAACTTGTGCTAAAGAGTCTTTGTCAGTTTGAGGTAAACATTAATTGGGTAAGTGTGTACACATGAGCTTATGGCATAAGGCTATAAAATAGGGTGTCAGTAAGCATATATTGATGCAGCTTGGGTGTCTGAATAGGAGAAAAATGCATACGTGGTTCTGAGGATGTGGACCTGTGTTCTTAAATCTGTTCTTAAATCTGTTATAGGTACAAAACTAATTACTATAGATGCCAATTGTATAACTGTGTAATACAGATACCTAAATATACCCATGTTTTTTACCTGTGTATATTCTCTGTGTAATATACATACCTAAATATACCTATAAACCATATATCAAAGTGCAACAACATAGTACTGGTGAGAATTTTGCTTGAGCAGCTGCAAGGTCCCAGTAGTGAAGCACATCTGACAAACTGTCTGAAGAGAAGGATGCAATGGGATGTGTGGTTTTGATACAACCAAGGTGCATATTCATGGAGCAGGCTTAGATCTAATTAAACTGGTTGTGAAATTGTCCTTTTTCTGAAAAGGTTTGTTCACCTTTCAGCAGCACATTTTTGTTCTCTTCCTTGTAATGGTTTTGAGTCATGCAGCTACAGAGTGAGGTGGATCAGTTTACTTATCCCAGTGAAAACTAGTGATTTGTTACAAATTAGTTCACATCATTGTCAGGGCTCCATGATTGCTAGCTCCCAACACAAATGTCCGAATAATGACATTTAAAATATGAAGGCAGGAACCAGTTAACAGCACAAACATTTCATTGTCTCTTTTTGTTCTTAAAACTTGTATTATTTTATAAAGAAAAGCAATTTTATTATGTTCATTGTAGAAGTACTTAGGTTCATTGAGCTATGCATACAAAAAGGATAGTTCCAAAACCAGTATAATCTTAAATTTACATAAATTACATAAATCCCTTAGATTCCAACTTTTAAAAAAAAGAATAAAAAAGAGATGCAATATTCATATATTTCAACAGTTTAATGGCTTTTCTGTTTTGTGGAATGAAGAGCGAGAACCCACTTTAGTTTGTTTGAGGAGCAGAAGGTCAGTCTGACTGGCAAACTGCCTTGCAATTTTAAAGGAACAGCATATGTTTAACTCAGCTGGGGTGAGAAAAAGTTCAGCTCAAATATTCCTTGGACAGAGGTTACTGTTCATGTTGCTAAGCCTAGGAGAAAAGCAACAGCTGTGTCTTGGGAAGAGGTAAAAAAGAAATCAAAGAAATCTTAAACACTTAAAGATATCTTAACTTCAGAACTTAAACATTTAAGAATATATCTTAACTTCAGAAATAGTAACAAAGCACTCTCATGACTTTCTGTTAAGTATTCAACTTTCCTTTCCAATGGACATCTTCACTGTGGACTACAGTATAACGTGGAAATACATGATTTTTGCCAATATCAGCTGTGTGAAGTCAGCAGTTCAGAACTCAGCTAATTAAATACTTGAGAGTAGCAGTACTCTACTACTTAAAATCATTGTGGGTATTAATCCCAAAACCAGAAGTTGAAATAGTAACGGGAGATTTAATTAGTAGAACACTTTCATATATGAGGTAGTCATCATCTGTTGAACTTAACACCGGTTCTTATCAATGCTGTTCCTTTGACATCATGTTGACTACTTGAATATTTACATCAGTAAGTTTGTTGGTACTGTATGTCAGACATGCATGACAAAATGCTCTTATAATTCACCATCACTCTTGCAATATAGTTTTAATATTAAAGATCTGCTTTCTTCTGTTTGTTAGACAGACACTAAGGGGGTAATTACATACTAAAATTGTTTCAGATAAGGCTGTGATATTTAATTTGCAGAAAAAAAAAAACCCAGAAAAGTGTCTGAGGTTTAGTAGGGTTTACTGGTCAGTTTGTAATAGTAATATACATGTACTCAAAGTGGTGGTGTAAATCCATTGTGATATTGGTTCCCTTTTCATTGAAAAAAAAAAAAAATCTTGTTCTTACTACAAAACAATCTAAACCAAAGACGGTGGAAAAGTGCTTTCAAGAGCTTGAGAGCATCCTACTAGCATGTTCATGCTGCATTGTATAATGTAACATCTGTAAATTTGTCCTAGGAAAACCTTCCTCCTACGAGAGACAATGATGTAAAAGTACAAGTTAGAGCCTGTGCACTGAGCTGCATAGATACAAAGGTATTTGCTTATTTTTTTTTTAATAAAAGCTAGAGGTGTTTACAGTTTCCGTAGAAGATCTAAGCCAGGGCCTTAGCTGGTAATTGGCGCAATTCCATTTATGCCATCTGAGGATATGGCTTTACTGCTGAGAAAGGGCACAGGATTGATGTGGTATTCTTGCATATCTTTAAATGAAAAGCACCTGTAATTTGGTTCCTAATTTGTGGAGAAAGATCAGTTGTCATTTGTGAGTTCTCTTACAGTAAATCCCTTTTATCATCCTCTGCATACTGACTTTAAGTCAGTTTGGCTTGCCTGTTAATAACTCTGGTTTTATTTTTTTGTATGCTTCTAAGTTTAAATACAGAAAATCAGTGCAAAGGTTTTAATATTAAATGAGGAATATGTGTACTTTTTTTCCCCCCCAGATAACATTTTGGTAATGGCCCAACTTTTTTACTGTGAATATCAAACACTGTAAGATGATAATAAATATGCAAATTTTCAGCCTTAGTAAGAATGTTGTAACCATTATTTTAATTTAGCTTCTGTCAGAAATTAAACTGGAGAAGGAGCTTCTACCTGTTGGTCGAGAAATTTCTGGAGTTGTATTGGAAGGTAAATTAGCATAATTGTCTTGTGGAGGGTGTGGAGCAAGAATTAAGGTCTGATAATCCAGAACAAATAATTACTGTTTGTATGGTACACCTTTAATAGTAGGAACTATTTGGTCCCTTAATGACGCTTCCCCTTAGTCAGTAATGATACTGAAATGAAAGTAAAAAAAAGGAACTGAACTGTAATTCCTGTGTATTTGTTCAGAGTTTTAAGAAAAGAAATTGCATGGCAGATTTCTAAATAAAATATACTGAGATCTTAACCTATTATCTGCACATGCTGTAACAATCTTAAATTTATTTTTACAAATAATTTGTTGGAATAGTGAAGACAAAATAACATTCAGGAATTTTGGCAGTGTTTCTGTGACATGTCCACCTTTGATGTGTAGTTTAAAGGCTGGATCTTTCAAGCACACATATGTGTGTGTACTTGCATGTAACTGTTTATGGATGGGGTGCCAAAATTTAGTGAATTAAACATTTAGGTTTGGAATGTGCATATTTAATTATATTTTTTCCACTAGCAGGGTATGTTTTGGGGTTTGTGAGCTAGTGATAAACAGTGCTTTCAAATACACGTTCAATTTCAGCTATAAATATTTTATCTTCATACCTTTCTTTCTTCCTTTTCATATATTCTTCATGAGTTGGAAGAAAGGTGACCTTTTTTCAGCCAGGTGATGAAGTGGTGGGTAAGTTAATGCTTGTTTTCCTTATCAATTAACACAATAATCTTTTGGTAATGAATGGCTGAGGTTCATTGCTAGAGCTACAATTAGACACATTTTCAAAGATTCAACTGGTGTCACATGAACAAACTCTTATAAATGAGAATTCTATTCCAAAGTTGTTCTCTTAGGGAAGTTTTTTGATTATAAGAATGGAAGTTCAGGTCCCCAGCTAAAGTAATTTGTCATAGTTCTACTGTATTCACCAGATCTTTAAAGATATACACCTGGGTCCAACTTGCCATGTGGGGTGAGTGTTCTAATGGCAACCATCTGAATACATGCATAATTCTTTGTATTTATAAACATTACACTATCTTGATGTAATTAATATTTATCTCTTGATTTCTGTGGATGATAGAAAGTCTAGGCTTATATTTCCTGCCTTCTTGAGGATGATATAAAAATACACTTTTAATTGTTAGTGATAAATCTCTTATTCAAGCATACTGAAGACTGTTCAGTTTCTTCTAAGTCACATCAATTCCTGTTTGAGTAAAGAGATCAAGAGTTGTTCTACCTTAAACATGCAAGTAGGTTCACCAGTTCTTCTGGATTTTCTGAGTTGCCAAAAGCAATGCACCTACTCAGGTATTTTGCTAAATACAAGGCTACATTTTAAAAGACACACTGATCCAAGTTGCTCATTTTCCAGAATCTTCTTTTTTACTGCATATTAAAGTTCTTGAAAGTAGATCTGTTTCCCCCCCTAACTTAACCACAGGGAGTCCATGCTTTATGATCCTACTAGGACAGGATTGTCAGAGAAGCCCATCAGAAAGGCAAGTGATAATCATTGTACTTTTTTTTTGTTTATTATTTGAAACAGACTTCCAGGGGAAAAATCACACAGACAGTATTTGGGACTTTTCCTGATAAAACTTTGGCAGACCTTTCATATCATTAGCTTAAATCTAATGGAATAAGCTGTGTGATTATTAGTATTTATTCACCACTAAAAGTGTAATCCTTACAGTTGGGAATTAATATTCCATTTTATGTGGTACAGAAATGGCTTTGCTTTGTCTAGTAAAGTAGAACTGTTATGGCCAGGTATTTTCTGGTCTTGCGTATGAATTAACTTTGAACTATGAAGAGTATCATTTCTGTGAACAATATTGCTCATTTGGTTAAACATCTTTCTGACATGCTGCATCTGTTGAATATTTTAAAATAGTATTTGTGTTTTGATCACCTTCTGTTGTAGCTGAAGGAATACAGTTTCAGTAAGTAATTAGGGAAGAAGAACGCTCTGAAAATATGTCAGTGGACCTTGAGAGGTCTAAGTGATGTTCTAAGTGGGAGGGTTGGGGTTTTTTGTGAACTAGGACTTCATTCTGTTCTTGTTAATTCAAACATAGGATAAGTAGTTTGGATCAGCTGAGCTGCTTCAGAGTAAATCTGACTTTAAGGGAATGGAGTCTACTTGAGTCGTGAAAGAAGCAGATTCATTTTGTCTAAGACTTCTGCTGTCTGCCGTTTTTAACTTGTAAGCGCAGGTACAGAAGAGTCAGAATTACATGTATAAAAATAGGAAGATTAAGAAAATAGCATTAAATATTTTTAGCCCTAAAATAAATAAAACTTTATTATTAAAATAAAACTTTATTTATTAATAAATAAAACTTTATTGATTAAAACTCATAGCATTCCTTTTCAAACAGATGTTCAACCTTATGCATCCAATATAGATGCTATAAAGACAAAAGATAGGAGTGAAATATTTCTATTGTGGTAAATCCTAACAAGCACACTTCAAGTTACTATTGCTGTGAGCTTATACATAGTTAATCAATGAGCAAATTTAAAAGAAAACAAGCTATTGCCAGATGGTTTGGTTACCTGTGTGTTTAACAACGTCAAACTGTTCCAAAATATACAATTGTCAGAAAAATATTTCTACTTGAATTTCACAAAAAAAGCCTGTCCTTCTATCAAAGAGTATCATCCTGGTATATACTCTTTACTGACTTTAAAAGTAATAATATGGTAATACGGTCCTTATTTCTAAATCTACTGTTTTTCATGTAAGAATATATGTGCTCACTGGAAGTACTTGGTGTGTTACATCATTAATCTATTCCAAAATTCATACCAAGAATTGTTCCTCACTTTTAAAGTTTTCCTGATCCTTCTTCAGTCTTCCAGATGAGATTTCTTTGTCTATATAATGTATTCTTTTCTACATAACCATTTGTTTGGTTAAGAAAAATACAGTAGTAAAACCTCAGACCAGCCAAAAATCTTTTGTTCTAAGATACATTCTTGACTTCTTTTCAAAGTTACTGTCAGTTTTATTTGTTGCTCTTAGCAATCAATTATACCATGTTCCTCACTAAAATAACTGCAGGGAAAAATATTCTGAGATTTGAATTGGCCACAAATACTTGGAAGACATGCACCTAGATATAAATGTACTTGTTCAGATTTCCTGGTGGTTAGCCAGTTTGCGTGTTGGTTTTTCCATATGCCTTGTTACTGAATACGTAAATAATCAATGCACAAATGCCCTACGCTGTGTGGAGTATTTCTGACAAGTAAGGTGAAAAATCTAATTTTGTACTTGTCAAATGCTTGATGTGTATAGCATACATAAAATAAAGGTCTATACTTCTGTAAGCTTTATGAGCTTCTGTAAGCATTATGAAGTATATTAAGGGGCACAGTTCTTTAAGATGCCATATGTCTTTCCCTCAGTATAAGGGTTATGTTTTTGTGAATGGTTTTAGAGAGCCTGAAATCAATGTGAGTTGACAGCAATGTATAATGACTCCTTGGAGGCTGTCTTGAGTATTAGAAGATAATGTGACTTGTTCCTGAACTTTTGCATCTGTCAAGAAAAGGAATGTCTTCATGTATTATTCATTCTGTGTTTTGCTTTTTCTATAGTAAGATGTTAGAATGCAAACTGGTTTAGGTGCCAAGGCTATTTTAGTTTACTATAAGGAAATTTTTCTTAATATTTGACATAACATACTGTATTAATCATCAAAATCTGAATGATGCTTTAGGATAGAAGACATATTTCTAGGGACAATCTTTCATACGTGTTTATATTTTGTATGCTAAATTAAAGGATTAGAGGATAACTTAAGTTATGAAAGTAAAATGGAATTGATAGTGATGTTGTAAGAAAGTGTGTTTTGTTCTGAGATTCTTGCCCTTTTGCGTTATCTACAGAAGCTATTGTGCAATTAGGAAATAGATACTTTAGACTTAATTATTCTATAAATAAACCCTTGAGAGGTCTCCACAGGTATACAAGTGCTGTAGGGTAACTATTTTTAAATGGGAATTGTGAAAGACTGGAAATAGCAGCCAGATTTACTGAGGATTTTAAGCCGAAGCCCTTGCTTTGTTCTAAATGGGATGTAAGATTTGGGTGGGAGCAGGAAGAAAATACTGTTTTACCGAGGGTAGAGGGTACATATATTTAGAAGACTGATCGAATGCCAGAACCTACTGCTCATGAATCTCCTTCTTTGGCCAGCAGAGGAAAAAAGCACTTTTTTTTTTTTTTTTTTTTTTTTTTTTTTCTTCTGCCTGTTCTGTGTTTGCTTTCTCTGCCTTCCATAGGTGATTTTTTTTCCCTTCAGTTCCTCTTCTCTATTCCAACTTTTTAAAACTTAAACTCACGCATTCTTGCTTGTTCTTCCTCTGCTTCTTTCTGTCCTTTATTTTGCTGCCTTTGTTAACAACATGTGTACAGGCATCAGGATGAAGAGTAGCAGTATCTGTATTGTGGCTTGGTGTGTGCCTGTCTGCAGTATGAAAGCTCAATTTTCTCCTTTGTTAGCCATTGCCCAGGGTGGAAACAGGTGAGCTCAGAGCGAGAGCAGTGTGAAATTAGTTCAGACATGACCTGACAAAAATTAAACATGCCAGTAGCAAAAAAGCACTCAGCAGTGTCCCTATTCTTTCTTCCCTCAACCCCAAAATGCTGCTTGGAGCTCCTCTGAAACAATCTTCTGCACTGTGCCCATAGAGATTACAGGCTGTTACCTTGCCAAGTTTTCTTAACCTGTCACAAACCTGACAAGAGGGCAACTGAACCACAGACCGAGTGGGACTAGCAATTTCATAAGGAGCTTGTTTTGGTTATAACATATGCTTGTTTGAAATTAAAGGTCTACATTCAATTTTTTTTCAGGAATTTTGCCCCTGGATTCTGAGGAGCCTGGTCTTTGTGAAGTTGTTCTAGTTCATGAGCATTATTTGGGTATGTAGTTCATATATTTTGCTAATATTTATATTTACTGTATCTTTATACTTCAGTTTAGCTTTTCTACTAGGGAGCTAATTAACTTGGTTCTCTGGGCAACCTTGTTCTTTATAGCAACATTCAGACATTCTGAACATTGTCTACTCCACTTGTTCATAGAAGCTTTGAATACTGTATACTCTCATGGGCTTTTTCTTTGCTGTTACCGTTTAATGGGTTAATGTTTTGCCTAAACCACACAAGCTGACTCTTCTTTTTTTTTTTTCCTTTCCTTTTAACTTCTTTTTTGTTGCTTCATTTTATTTCTACTTTTTTCTCACATCATCTGTCCCAAAATTAAATGAGAAATTTTGGTTTTCCCTCGCTTTGATTCAATCCAGGAGCATTACTTGTGACCAGACTAACAGATGGGATGAAATTAGCACACTAGAAGCTGGAGAAAGGAGTTTTCAGGGAATGAGGATTAGGGAAAACCAATTATTGAAGCATTCTTTTTCAATTATTGTTAGTGTGTGAGTTTCCAGTTTCCCCCTTCAGCTTTAATGCACAGAATACTGAATTTGGGAATCTTTGTGAATCTTCTCTGAACAGTTTGTTGTGTTAGTTTGAACAAGTTACTCTTTTGCTCAGATTAGTTTTGTGTTTCTATGACTGTCCTTGAATTCAACCTATGTAGTTATGAGATTACTCCCTTAAAGTTGTTCATACTAAAACCAAATCCCTACTTTTATTGCATAAAATATTGTAAAATATCCTCTCTGTTTTTTTAATATATATGAAAGGTAAACAAGTATTATTTATGTTGACTTGTTTGAAGATGAAATCTTCCTGACTAGCTATGGCAGTTTCTGCAAAATAAGTCATGGACTCATGGAGATGAAAAAATAAGATTTATTTTTTTCCTAACACTTAAAAGTATAAATCAAGCAAAATGAAATCTAGAGGTCTGTACTGCCTTATCACTCTTTACAGTAAGTATAGGCAGAAAATATTTCTGACTTTATATTACCTTCAGCAGCTTCCTTTGTGCTAAGTGGTATGAACTGGCACACAAAGTGATGATCCCTAGAATTCTTTTCCAGCACACTGATAAATGATCCCAGGTGATCACATTGCTTATGTTGTTTTATAGCTTTGCTGAATTAGGTTAAACTGTCAATTCTTATGCTTGAAGGGACAGACCAAACTTTTCCAGTCTTTTTCTTTCCTAGTGTGCCTCAAGAGGATTGCACTTGCTTACTTAAGTTCTATGCTAGACTCTCAGCTGGTCCATGATGATTTTCTTAGCAGAGACCTTGATAGTCAGCTAATCATGTAAATTGCTTACATTAAAAATGGTGGTTGAACTTGTGATTTCTAGTTAACAGAGTACTTCATTAACGTTACCTGCCCAGGCTTTTAATCATGTGGATAGAATGTGAAAGCTTAAGCATCTTGTAGGTAGAGACAAGAGAAAACAGAGATGACAAATAGTGTCATCTTAACCTTTATGTCTCTTAAAATGTGTTATAGCCTTCAGAAGCTGTTTATAGAAATGGACTATGAAGTAGAAGATTCTAACCTATAAAGAGAATTAGAAACTCATGGATTGGAACTCGCATTGTATATTGTCTGCGTCAGAATTGTCTTTGTGAAAAGAAGACAACACCTCCTCAGATCATTTCTGTTGTGAGGTTATGGTAGGAAGTGTGTCTCTTTTTTTTTTTTCTTCTGTTCAAATACTGTATTCGTATTTGAACTTGCTCACATGAGTGCTGCAGAAGCAAAATAATTCTTGGAATAATATTTGCTTTTCCACTTTGACTCCACTTACCTGACCAAACACTGCCATGAGCCACAACATCGGAATTACTGCCTTTGTGAAATAGGTTGTAATTATACCTATAGATGATTTGACTTGTATAATTTTCTTTTATGTTTCAGAAATTGATGAAGTCTAAAATAGTTCTGAGTGAAATGTCAGGGACTTGATGCTTTTCTTTTTTCCCATCTGCTTTGTTTGTTTGTTTCCCCAAACTTAGTTCGTAAACCAGAAAAAGTTTGTTGGGTTGAAGCAGCCGGGACTGTTCGTGATGGTGTCCGAGCATACACAGCTTTACACTACCTTTCCCAAGTGTCTCCTGGAAAAACTGTCCTTGTAATGGATGGAGCAAGTGTAGGTAACAACTGTGCAGTAATAACAATTTCGGAACAGAAAGATTACCTCTGCCATAAATAACTGCCTTATCACCAGGACGATTGGATTTCTTACAACATACTAAACATATCAAGCCTTGTATTTTACTCCTGGCAGCTCCTTTAACTTAATGGATTAATAGGAAGGGCCCACCCACATAAGATACTGAGCCAAGAATACAGTCCTTTACATGTTGTGTGGGTAGTGGAGAGAGGTAGTTCTTTTCTGGTGTTTTACATTGACATAGTTTTACCCTAAGCCCTCAGGTATAACTGGAGGAAAGTGCCTTAATTTATTTCTTTCCCATCACTGCTTTTTAATTTCTCTTAGACATAAATTAATTTGCATTACTGCAATCTTTATTGCTAATGAAGATGTGGAGCTTGCCTCAGCCAAGATTCGTTAATGTAAATGTGGCTGGGGCTTTTTCCTTGGTAGCACTTCTTCAACAAGCAAGCAAGCCCAAAGCTACAAGTTACAATTGCAGTTATGGTACTCGCATTACCTAAAATAGAATCTGAGCTATTTTGTTGAAGAGAACTATGTAATTACTAAAAGTTTGTTCAGAGCTTCCCAGTCAATGCAAAGACTTCTTTGGCCTCACTTAGAACAGAAGAATATTTGAATTCTTGGTTCAGATGAACTTACTTGAGGATTAACTTCTGAATGTCCTTTGCAATATAATCTTTCTTAAACAGCATAAAATTGTTGCTATAAATCATACACTTTTTTTTTCTTATGCAGCCATTTGGTACAATAGCTATTCAGTTAGCACAGCATCGAGGAGCTAAAGTAATATCTACTGCATACTGTCTTGAAGATAAGCAGTACCTGGAGAGGCTCAGACCTCCTGTAGGTAAGTCATATTCTTCAGTGCTAAAGTTTATGCTGTAGAATGTCTCAAAATATTTTTTTTTTGTCTAGAAACTCATTTCAGTGGCTGAAAACAAACACTAATTTATAAATAGCCTAATTAAATAATTTTAAAATTTATTCTGTACTCCATAGTTATTTAACTTCTGGTTTAGGTGTCTTTAATGGCATTTTCATTCTTCATTTAAATTGTAATGGCCGTCTCTCAGTACTTTCCATCTCGCACAACAGCGCTTGAGTGCTGGCTTTTTGGGCTAACTAATCTAGAAGTCTTTTCATTTTATGAAGTTGTTGCTTGTGAACAAGAAGGCAGCATTGCTAAATCACCAGTATCACAGTATGTAACCTAGGTACCCGAGCCAGAGTACAGATCTAATCATATACTTGATGAGTGTTTATCAGACTCAAATTACTTCTAATAGTATTTTATCAAGCTGTGTGGCAGCTCAGTATCAACTGAGTTACTGTCATAACTGTAGCTGAGTGTTCAAAGGCTGCATTTTCCTATTTTTGAAATGAACTTTGCATTAGACATAATACTTGTATTCATCTGTGTCTTCTTCCATTTCCCTTCTTTGACACTTAAGTTTTGGGTGGTTTTTCGCCCAAAGTAACAGTGCTGTTTGGACCATGAGAAAATTATGTAGAAACTACTAGCATCTTTTCCTGATCAAACTACTTCTTATTTTGATGCTGCAGAGTGGAGGAAGGTAGAATATTTCTTTATTCAGAGTTTTAAAACAAAGGATGGCATTGGAAAGTTCGGTTTGATTGCAGTCCATGAACTTTGCTGTACAGTGAACAAAGGGTTAAAACAAGTGTCTGATACTTCCTCTTCAAAATCCACAGGCTGCTACAGTGTAATCAGATTTATTTTTCAGTGTGTGATTTTTGTTGTCATTCAAAGAAGTATACCTAAGAGTAGCTGTGTCACTTGTAAGAATGTTTTTGTGGGGGAAAGCATTATGTAGTCAGTTATCATATCTACTTATATTACAGTCACATCAATCACATACACATATATATATATATGTGTGTGTGTGTATATATATGTATATATGTATATATATAAAAAATATATGATAACCCATATATATGGGTTGAGATCTGATTAAAAAGATAATGTCAAGGTTAACTGTTCCTGACTCTGAGTCCTTTCTCCTTTGTTGTTTTGCATAATAATGTTAGCAATCTTGGAGATGAATGGGAAATGGAGAATTGGAGCAGTTTTCAAATCTCTCTTGTTCTTAGTGACTCACTAAAACCAGGCATTGCTGATATGCAGGTGCACATAGTATTGTCCTTGTGTTCTCCCTGCTGGCTCAAGAATAGTAAGCTAGCAGAGGGATGAAATAAGCCAGAGAGCCGCTCTTTAGACACAGAGAGAACAGAGTTCTTGTAAATTTTAATTCCTTTCTGGCTCCCGAGAACAGAACTGGCAGTGGAAGCACAGAGACAACACAGTGTGCATGTGCATTCTGGGGCTGCACGTTCACACACATCTGCAGTGTTGGGAAGTGATTCGCTTCCAGCCTACCAAGTGAGTATTTAGCTCTTCCAGTAGTGGCTTTGGAGTGCTGATAATGGAGCAGGAAGTGGAGTGCTGTGTAGAGGTTATTACACAAGAGTAGGGAGAAAGACATTTTTACTGTCTGACCTTAATGATCTTCAGCAGGGAACTGCAGTTTTGTGCTGGGAATGTCATCATTTCTTCTAAGACCTAGCAGACTCATTTCTCTAGATTTTTATATTACCTCTTTTTTTGGGCAACTTTACAAAAAATGCTATTTTTTCCTTATTTCAGAAGTCTTTTTTACTGTAACAGTAGACATTACAGACATCAGAACATAGGGCGTTTTTGTGAATGGTGTTGTTATGTAGAGGTTTGCTATGCCAGCTGTTACAGGGTGAAAGAGTAAATACAAGAGACCTAAAACTTTGCTTTGTAGTATCTTATGGGTATATTTTGCAAATGATATGAAAACTTTATTAGCTAAGAAAGGACTAATTTTATTTATTATTTGTCCTGTCAGCACATATGAATATGACTTCAGGTTTCTTGGCATATTTGCTTTTTGCTGGCATTTTTGAGTTCTATGAATGTCAGTATAAAATAAATGCTCTAAGCAACCCAAGCACAGATAGCTATATCTATGTTGGCTTCTAATGTCTGTGGGTGGAGGGTTTTTGAGTTTTGTGCTTGTTCAGTAGGGTTTTTTTCTTTAGTTTTTAGCAAGAGTCTTATCAGTTGTCAATGAGCAGCAGTTTTTATTATCAGTGTGTAGCATAACTGGCTACTTCATAAAATGGCTGCAATAACCATCTCTTGCAGTGAAAAAGCCGTTGCTTATATTGCTCATGTATGTGCTTGTTTTACAACAATAGGAGTGTAGCATTTTTGCAATTGTTTGTGGAATGTAAACTTTGGGGGGAAAAGTACAGCATTAAAAAGAGAAACAGTTTGAGCATAAAATCAAAAAGCCACTGTTTTTATGTTTTGGGGTTTGGGGCTTTTTTTTTGTTTTGGGTTTGTTTTGGGTTTTGTTTTGGGTTTATGATTCCAGTGCCTGCAGTAGAAGTTCCTGTTTAAAGATTCATATTTAGACCAACAGGATGGGGTTCTTGCATGTCTTCAGTAATGTCTGAAGTAAATATAATAATAGAAGGAGGGTTTATAAGAGATTTTGACATTGTAATGCACATGTTTCATACTAGAGACAGAACATTACATTAATAATAATGTAATAATGATGAGTTTGTTAGAGAACAGAAGAAAAAAGAAATATATGCACACATATATGTTTCTTCTGTTCCCTAGGCAACCCCCTTTTTTTTTTTTGTTTGTTTGTGTGGGTTTTTTTCTTTAAAAAACAGTATTGAGCTTTCAGTGGATACCTTTCTGGTAAAAACTCATCAGTGCTTTCATTGCTCTCTAGAGCATGTTCAGTAAACCAAGTAGTAGTTCTTTTGTGTGACAGTTTTGAAACTCTGTAGCTGAATTTACTGGGTGAAAGTAAACTCTGATAGCAAGTTGAGGAAATACAGATATTTCTACTTCTCACCAATAGTGAAAGAAAAGAGAACTGAAGTCTTTTTTGAGTCAGAATGTTATTTTAGAAGTTGTGCAAATCACAGAAGAAATTGAACTAATTTACAAATGTTTTGTGAGAAATTTTGCATAAATGACAAAAGATGATGGAAAATTATAGTAAAACTTGTTGCTCAGACTTTTCCACAGCGGAGATAATTTGTTACAGCATTTTGCTAGGAAGGAAGTTGAACAGGATTTTGATGAGTACTGTTTGAACTATTGTATTATGTGGCAAAACTGGAAATTTTTGCCAAGTGGAAATCAGAAAATAGTCAAACTGATTAAACTATTGCCTTTCTTTCTGACAGTCAGGCTTTGAGTCTGTTAAATCAGAATTATTCTCAAAAAGTGAAACTATTTGCAGAAACTTTATACTGTGTCAAATTGCCGTGTTAAGAGAAACCTTTTAACTTCTTGACTGAAGAAACTAATAAGAAAAGAATATTATAGGGTTGTATTTGCATACAGGGAATGTGACTAGCATTATTAATGTGACATCTTTATTAAGTTATGACCATATGTCTTCTCTTCAGCCAGATAATTTGACTTCAGTGAAAAAAATGAATGATTGACCTAAGAATTTGAATGTATCTTATTATTTGATTGGAAGGGGGGGGACAAAAAAAACCCACCAAAGCACTGACTATTAATATTCTTCTTAATGACCAGTTTCTTGCAATTTTTCTTCTTCCTTCCTACCTCTGTGATTAAATTCAAGAAGGTATACGGCAGCCTTTAGTGGGTAAGTACAAATTGCAAATTTTAGTTTAATCCATTATGCTTTGGAAATGTGCCTCCAAATTTATTTGACATTATTTCAGTTATCATTTTGACAAGAAGACTTTGTCTTCTTTAGCTTCTAAATATTTGTTCTACCTCATTATGAAACAAAACTTAAAAACCTTAGCTGCTACGTCTCTGCCCTAGTTATTCCTGATTACGTGATTTATCTTTATAACCATCTATAAATATGATATCACAGATATGTGAGAAGAAAATGTATTAGGAACTTTCAGTTCAGAAATATTTCAAGAGATGTAAATACATCCATCTAAATGCTTATTTAATGACCCAGAGAGCCATTTGGAGGTTAAAAACGTCATGCAGAAAGTAACATAGTAATAAGTTTATCCATGCTGTCAGATAAGTAACAATGTTACTAAGTATTATTTTAAAGAAAAGATGGATATAATAAGAATAAAAGACTTACTGGAATCATAAGAATAGTCAAGTCAGTGCCTTGTACTTCTGACTTGCACTGGGAGACAGGGAGAATAGGTTTTTATTTCCTTCTATGATGTGAAAGCAAGAGAAGAGCTCTGCAACAGACTGGTGGTTTTACATAGAGTAAGGGAAGAACTGCTATGGTTATTTGACAGATAATTTAAAATCTGGGAGATGTGAAATAAGGTGCCTCCTTATCTTTTAGCCACTCTCTTTTGCTTCTGTAACATGGCTGGTCACTCCAGAACTTGCTATTTTTGAAGGTGCTTTTGGAAAAGAAGAGTAGCAAAGAATGAACTTACAGAAGGATTTCTAATTCTTATAGGGGCAGACTTTATCTGTCCTTCTTGGCCTAAACAGACGTGTGAGGTTCATTTCTGCTAATACATATTTTTCTTATTGATCTTGCACTGTATTGGAAAATGAAAAAAAACCTGTTGGCTAGGGTGTTTTACTTAACTGCAAACTTGCTTGTAATGCTTCCAGAAAGTAGAAACTTTCTGTTCTGCTCTGAATGTAAACTCTGTATTTTTATTGTAGTTAACAAAATATACTGCTCTTTCTAGCTCGAGTGATAGATGTGTCAAATGGTAAGATAGATGTGGCAGAAAGCTGCTTGGAAGAAACGGGTGGCCTGGGAGTGGATATTGTTCTAGATGCGGGAGGTATGTAACTGATGAAAATCTGATCTTCAGAAGACCATTATTTTGTTGGGGGTTTTAGTATTATTTCCAAGTAATATAGATGGAGGCTGCATCACCACAAATGATTACATTTAGTTGCTTATTCCCATGCAATTTATGTATGTATCTTTATTCAATACATGTCCTTAAGCCTTTTAAGTCTTTTAAGTTTTTAAGATCTCCTCGTATCACCCTCTAGCGGAAGCATCTGATATTGTTAGTCATTTGCTAAATTTGTCTGAAATTTGTCCTTTATTTAAACCGAGAAGAAAAGAATGTGTTTAAAGAGTAGAGCCATGACATCGTTTATGCTACATTATTTTAATACAAAAATTATACCATAATTACCAGTACTGTCAACCTGTATTCTAAAACAATTGTAATAGTTGAAAACTCCGAAGTTGTTATTTTTAGCTGAAATAAAGAACTTCTTAAGTTCCATTGAAATGTGTTAAAAGGAATATAAATATATTGAATTTCTTAAATCATCTACTTTCTCCAGTGTTCTCATGTGACTAACAACATCATTTAATTGTAGTGCTGTTCCAGACAGCCATCTTTCATTGAGTTTATTCATATGCATATATTGCAACTCTTAAGATGTGGGACTGGAGAGAATCCCAAAATATGTGGTTTTCAGTACAGGAAGAGATGGACATTTTATTCTGAACAGAATTTTCTACTGAGCTCATATGAATTTGTTTCCCCCCTTCTTTCCCCCAGTGAAATTATATAGTGCTGAAGATGAATCAACTTCAAAATCACAGTTGCTGCCTCATAAGCATGATATCATTACTCTTCTTGGTGTTGGGGGACACTGGATAACAACAGAAAAAAATCTTCAGGTAAAGATACTATGCAATTAAGTAGCTTGTACCACAGTATGTACGTGGATGTGTCTGTGAACTTCTGTCACGGCCGAATGGTTCCCCACTGTTAAATAATATCAGTTTTCACTTAAGAAAATTTTCACATCCAGAAAATGGGAAATATGCAGCATTAATAATGTTTTTATTTTCCTTTGGGACAATTTTGGGGCTTTTTTCTCTGAGATGGTAGTAAGTTATGTTAATAGCTTGGCTGTACTGACAAATTTTAAAGGACCTATTTTGTTTGACTCAGGGTATTAAACTGTTTGACAAGACAGAAAAGTATTATTTAAAGCTATAAATACCACATTTGCAAAGTTTGAAGAATGGGGAAGGAGTGGTTTTTTGTTTGTTTTAACCATCTATATAAAATAATGATTTAACCTTTAATTTTGTATAGGAAAATTTAACTAAATAACATTTTTCTTCACTTTAAGTTGGATCCTCCAGATAGCCATTCCTTGTTTCTTAAAGGAGCCACAGTCTCCTTTCTGAATGATGAGATATGGAACTTGTCAAATATACAGCAAGGGAAGTATCTCTATATCCTTTTGACAGTCATTTTGAATACTGACTGCTAACATGAGTGGATGGAAATATAACCAAGAAACCAACTAATAGATTCTCTTTCTCTCTGTCATGTAACTGCAGGCTTAAAGGTCAGCACAGTTAAGCATACAGTGTAACTAAAATAAAACATACTCATGTTTTAAGCTAGTTTCTGCATTCCCTCTAAATATATGTCTCTACATTCTTCACTAAAAGCAGTGCTGAAATAGAAAACACACGTTCTGGAAAAAATCCAGTATTTTGGTTTAAGATCAAAGCAACTGAAGACTTGATTCTATAAGTTTTTATGATGCATGATGGTTTGGCATTATTTTTTTTTCTTTTGGACAGTAGATACATCATCTGTAAATCTTAATGCAATCAGTTTAAAAGTTAAAATATTTTGGTTTCGTAACCTTTGTCTTAGTTGCCGTGTTATATACATAAAATTTATTGAGCAATGGGTATGGGAAGAAGAATGCCTCCTTCATTTGCATTACCTACATTTAGTCTTAAGCAGCTGGACTCTGAGCTTTCTACTATGATGACAGCTTTCAGTGGATTGCTTCAAGTGATGGAAGGTTTGTCTGCTTATGGCTTTAAGGACCCTCCCTGTTCTGTACTGCACTGCAGATTATGAGATCTGCTGAATCACTTTCGCAGTTTAGCAGAACAGCAGAGGCAGGTGAGGATTAAGTCATTATATTTGTGAAACGACTAACTGTAATGCAAGGAAGTCCTCCCCTCCTCCACTGACCGCAAAGCGGATTAGGCAAGGTTAGGCACACTGAGGAAATATTTATGGGATGCAGGCTATCTTGAATAGTTTATAGTTTGGCATTTTTGTTGAATATTTACTGAGTAGTTATCCACATAAAAAGTAAGCTGACTAAAGAGCAAGATTTCTTCTGTCATCTCCTGGGGTATCTTTAATAACAGCAGCATGTTTTATCACAACAGGCTTTAAGGTTGAAAGGAAAAATCTGGGGGTGTTTGGGGGTTTTTTGATCTGTGTCTCTTGTGAAATTCTTGACCATATGGCATTAATATCATCTGAAGAAATCGCAAGGCGCTCACTTTTTAAAATGGCTTGAGCTTCAAGTATTAACCAGATTGCTCTTAAAACGAAGGAAGTCACAATATTTTTTGAGTTTCACATGAAGACTAAATACAGTCTCATCTGTTGCACTGTCATGAATGTTAGTCATTAACTCTGAGATCCCTTACAGATGTGCAGCAGTGCTCCCAAGAATTTACAGACCCTGCTATGTTCCCAACTTTATTTTGATTTTTTTACCTCATATGTCTGCATGAATAGTAGGGACAGTTAACTGGTACCAAAGTCTATCATCTTCATTCTGCACAAAAAATATAATTGCCATTCTGATTGATTAATATTGTACTAGCGCAGGAAGCATTTGTCAATCTTAACCCTTTTAATTTTATTTTCCAAAATTCCGTTTTCCATTATTTTGTTTCTGCATACTATTTCAGGAAAGGAGGTTTCTGATAGATAGAAAAAAGTGTGTAAATCTCATCTAAAGATTGGAATTTTCATTTTGCCTTGATCCTGTTGGTTTTGTGTCAATACAGGGCTCTTGCCAGCAAACAGTTATAGAAAGATTTATCTGTAGATATGTTGTTACCTTGACAGTCCTCTTAGATACCCATCTTAGAAGATATAATGGAGAAATTATCAAGTGGCATTTTCAGGTCAGATGATTTTTTTTTTTTTTTTGTAATTCAGCATTAGAAGTAGGAAACTGCCAGCACTGTACTGCAAATTTATATTGGGATGATCAGGAAAAGGTGCCTCACATTGTTTATGTGGAACAGTTTATGGTATTTCTGTTTGTAATATAGCAGGCTAAGCACAAGGAAATTTGGTAAACCCCACAATTGTGCTGTATGTCAAAATTTAACAGAGGCAGCACATTCCTTGGTGGAAGAAGTGCATATATTTGGCTGCTCAGCAGTGTGTCTGGTTGAGAAATGGTGTTGGCTGTAAAAGACAATAGGTCTGTCTAATACTCCTCTGAGAAGTCACAGCCTCACTAGGTACAAAGACTCCCATAAGAAGGTGGGAATGTAAGATCCTTCCTCTTAATGCAAGGTAACTGTATTGCTGTGAACAAAAGCCTCTCCACCACCACGGGTTTCTTTTTCCTCCTGTAAGAAGACTATCTTTTAATTAACTTCTGTTTCCTGTTTGCTTTAGGGCTCTTCCCTTCTTCTGTGAACCCAAACAAAGCTTTAATACTTTTGTTTAAGGAGTAAAGTTTACATAGTGAAAGTAAAGTCTGTTGCAGTAGTCCTGCAATATTTCTGTTGATCTGAGCATGTTCACCAGACACTTCTGACATATTGTTCCATTTTAGGCCTCAGCTGGATGAACCGATCCCATTGTATGAAGCCAAAGTTTCTATGGAAATAGTTCAGAAGAATCAAGCAAGAAAAAGACAAGTCATTCAGTTCTGACACAAAATTTCCCAATTTCTAAGCCTGTGGAAGATAAAGAAACGTAATGTATTTGAGAAGTAAATTAGTGTACATTTCAAATAATTCTGTAACTAGGATTTAAAGATCTTTTGTACCTCAGCACAAATGGCCTGTGAAGCTCCTGTGACTACAGGGGTGTTTTTTTTATCCACTTGAGCAGAATTTCCTATCAGCAACTTCTGAAGAGGCAGTCTTGACACAAATCTTGTCTGCCCTGCCCCATTACAAATGTCAGTAACATGTACAGGCAAACTCGGTTGCTGTTGGTTTTCAACCATACAAAATTAAAGTAAAAAAAAAAAAAATAAAAATCTGGTGGGTTTTATTAGTCCTCCCTTCTCTGGCCCCTGCCAATAGTCACCTTTATATTTACCTTTTGCTTTTGACTGCATTGAGACTGAGCACTCTGTGTGGTACACTTAAAAGTCTTTACTCCACATTTAAAATTGTTATTTAATTGAGAGACAGGCAAATCAGAATGGGCAAGGATGCTAGAGGGGAAGGACATAGTATTAACAGTAAGTGTTTGCCCAGAGCTGATTTTCTTCATTTTAGCAACCAGGCAGCAAACCTAGTAGATCTAGAGTCCATAAGCTGATATAATCATGACATTCAGATGTTTGAGGCACTTTATGTATCTTGTTATTGTAATGCTATCTTTGATATCTTTCCAGTAAGACCTTCCTATGCTGTGTACTTTCACTTCCCCTCTTCTAACCTCAGTCCTATGCCTAGCACTGCTCAGATCTGTTTATCCAACATTCTCCATTACTGTGAACCATCTGCAAATAAGCAGTAGTGAAGGAACTGCTATTTTTCTTTCTTCAAAGCATGTGGCTTCTTGCTTTTATTTGAGAGCAAAAATATTTTTCTTTTGTTCAGCTGTGCTATTCATTTTCACTGTGTGGATGGCTCAAACAGTGGACACTAGCATTTTAAACCTGTGTAAGAACTTGGAACATTTGAGTGAAAAAAAAATTACCTAGAACCCTGATTAATAGATCTATCATTCATTGGACCTGTAGTAGGTTCTTGATAAATGATGCAAGGGAAGCGCATAAAAGCATGAGTAAATTGTATTTTACTACTAATGTGATGTCATGCAGTCTTGAAAATGTGATGCTTTTATGCATGTGTACACACAAGTCTAAAGCATGTGAATCCTCTATTAGTTTGACATTTATTCTGAAGCTTTGCTTATTTTTGTTTATTTTTTCCAATGTCATTCATTTTAGCCTAAATGTTTGCAAAATAAAGTAGATCAAAGGAAAGGAGTTAAAAAAATAAGGTTTATTAGAACAGGAACAACCACTGACAGAACTGCAGAAGAAAGATTTTTACAGTATAGATTTTATTCTATTAGATCTTTTTCAACAGATATGTTGCTCCTGACTACATCTATAAATGCCTTTTGAACTCCATGTACAATAGGCTTTAAGTGGTCTAGACTTTCAGATGGATCAAGTTATGAAGCAAATGTCTCTTGTATTTTGGGTGTTAAGCTGCCTGTTGGTGCATTTAGCTGTCGGAGATGTCTCAGTGTTATCTCTTCAATGATGTTAGCTTTAGATTGTCATCTGCTTGAACAAGAGGGTTCATGAGGTTCCCTAAGCAATTGCTTCCTCTCTTGCACATCCCCTGACAGAAGAAAGCAGAAAGTAGTTTTAAGCATGAGGGCAAGGCTCCCCAGCACTGGGGGGAGGGGCTGCCAGGTGCTTGTCTATTCCACTGTAGCTTTGACAGGAAAGTCGTTGTGCCTGCCGGCGAGCGGGTCCCCCTGGGCAGCGCCCTTCTGGCAGGTAGGGCCGGGGTTTCTCCCGCCCGCGGGAGGGGCGAGGGCAGAAACGGGAAGGGGCGCCCTGGGCAGAGAAGGGGCCTCCGCGCTGGCGCCCTCAGCCGGAGCCCTCCCACAAATCCAGCCCCCGAGCCTGCGGCTTCCCTCACTTTTGCGCATCGATTGAAACCGAGCTCGTGCAGTTCACCTAGGCGCCCTTCGGTCGCGCCGCAGGGTGGGGATTTGCAGCCTGTATGTGCTTAGTATCACTCGAAATTTCGCTGCAAGGGGCGGTTTTTTAAATTATCAACCCGGTTCGTGTTTTGTGCTGTATCTTACGCTCCTTTTTTAACCAGCTTTTAGAGCCTGTTTATGAAGATAAGCCAGCCCAGAGAGCAGAGCCCTCTGAAGGAACCGACGTCCTCACCTTAACTGATGTACGAAACGGCGCGCAGAAACGTTTTTCGTTGTTCTCAGGTCACAAAAAAGCTGAAACTGTTTAACTTAATATTTGATGGCCCATCTCTGTATAAAACGATGTACCGAAACGTCAGCGTTCAAGAAAATGTCATAAACTGCCTTGACATTTACTGTTATGGTGACAGTCTTTTAAAAGGCAGCCTTCGGCCCCACACTGCTACCGTAGTAGTTCTAGTTGACTGAGGTGGTTGTAATTTTCCAGTTTACCATGTTTACTACAGTTCTTCAGTTTCTTAGTTTTATAGTTTGTTGAGATAAGAATGTCCTTCAGAGTAATACATCTCCTGCACTCTTACTTAGCTGCAGAAGGGAACAGCTTCACCAGTCACATAGGAAAGAGAATGCCTGAAAACCAGTCCTTGAAAGAGTTTCAAGCAGACAACATCTTAATGTTGTTACAGGTTCAGAAACTTCAAGTTCAGACTAAGTTAAGCAGAATAGAAAAATGACCTCTCAAAGAGAACAAACTACCCTAGAGCTCCCCAGTGGTTTTTTTTCATCCTCTAAGAAGCGTTTGAGATTACAATCACCGAGAGGATGAAATTATGTAACTGTTTTGGCGTGGAAATTCTTGTCTTCATAAATTTAAGTCTGACTTTTTTTTTTTTAATCATTCATCCTTTTACCTGTTTCTAGTTTATTGGAAAGACTGCTGTGAATGAAAACCCTATTCTGCATTTTTATAAGCAATAGAGTGCTAGAATCTGCTACTGACTTAAATAATCAGCTGAGTATAAACTGTGACTTTGGTTAGCCTATGAGCAGTCAAACTCTGTGTAACTTGGAATCCAGAAAATCTGTCTTCAAAAGCTTTTTTTTTTTTAAGTATCTCTTAACACCTGTATTTCCTGGGGATCAAAATGAGCTAGGCATTTTGGCTGTTGCACTGAATTGGACAAGAATATGCAGGAGACGACAGGTTTAACTTGTCATTTTATAGGCTACTAATCTCAAGATGTTACAGGTAATAGCCATAGTCCAGTATCTGGTCTGCCTGCCAGGAAAAGCATATTGAATCAACATAGGAAGAGACCTAACCTTGCTAAAATATAAGTAGGTAGCTACATAGGGGTTTTCTAAATTTTTCTGTGGATTAACTGATGCTATTTCTGTTTTGTAAGGCCCTTCATTTACCTGCTGCTGTACCTGAAGTTCCCACCTCACCAAAACATGAATTTCCTGCAGACTGGAGTATTAAAACACGACTTCTATTTATGTCTTCCAAACCGTTTACCTGGGCAGAACATTTAAAAGCACAAGAGGAAGCTCAAGGATTTGCTCAGCATTGTAGAGCTACAGAAACAAACTTGCCACAGAGCATACAGGTAATACTTTGAGGGTAGCTCAAAGTTCCAGCTTTAGAATGAAGAATGTACCTTTGCATCTTTCCTTAAACGTGATGGCATTGAAAGCTTGACTGTGTTTTGATTTGGTCTTCCTTTCATTGAGAATAAGCCTTGCTTAGATACTAATTTAATTCTGTCCATGGATTGTACTCACCATGGCAAACAGTGGTGAGTGGTCATTTAACTTCAGCTGTGGAGTAGTTGCCAGTTGCTGTCTATCTTCAGTCTGGCTTACTCACAAGCCTGGGATTATTTTTTTAGTACTGTCATTTTCTAACCCATCACTTGCAATGCTGCCTTAAGTAAAGCATTACTGTCCTCATAAAATACTTTTTGACATCTAGGAACCAAAGCTGTCGACAGAACTGCGTTGTGCCTTTCAGCAAAGCCTCGTCTACTGGCTTCACCCTTCACTGCCATGGCTGCAGCTGTTCCCTCGGATTGGAGCAGATAGGAAAATAGTTGGAAAGGCTAGTCCTTGGTCACAGGATGAAGCCTTGCAACAAGCACTAATGAGCGACTGGTAAGTGGAGCCAAACAACTAATGTATTTGGTAAGATTAAGACAGTGGGATTTTAATTAATGCATAAGTTCTTTCCATGAGAAAGCTTTTTAATTTTTTTTTTTTTTCCAGTTAGAATGCTTGTTATTTTGAGTCCCAGGTTAAGGAAACGTAAGACTAAAGCTACCTTGTGTTAAATGCCCCTCTCCAATCCCAGTTGTTGATTTGGGTCAAATTCCATAAATCCTTTTAGCAGGTTGCCTTTGATGTTTCAGGTAAACCCATGTGCTAGAAAGCAAGTGTGCCGGGAGAGCACAGCAGTCACAAACGGGCAGTGTTTCAAAGTGCAGCTTCTTAGATGTTGAGCACATCTGAAAATCTGGCTAATCATTCAGTGTGGTCTCAGACCTGAGCAGAGTACACATCACAAACAGCCAGCCAAATCCAGTTTGATGTGTCAATAGCGAAGAATTAACTTCGTTACAGAACTGTTTTACTCTAATTTGCAGGTCTGTCAGCTTTACTTCGCTGTACAATCTGCTCAAAGCCCAGCTGTGTCCCTACTTCTATGTATGTACCTACCAGTTTACTGTCCTGTTCCGTGCAGCCAGTCTTGCGGGAAGTGATGTTATCACAGCTGTAGTTTCTCCCACGACTAGAGGTTTAAGGGAAGCCATGAGAAGTGAAGGTAAGGTGAAGCCAGTCCAATGAGGATTTGAATAACTGATAAAAGTGCATTAGCTGTGTTACCGTACCATTCATTGGTTGCTTTCCTCCTCTGTCCAAGGCATACAGTTTTCTTTACCTTTGGTAGAAGAAAGTAGAACCAGGAAACAAAAAAACTCTGAAGTGAATTTGGAAACAGAAGTTGCTAAAAGCCTCGAAGTGCACAACAGCATGGAAGAGGGAGAGTATGTAATAAGTCTTCTACAATGCTAGAACTCAGGGGCATCTACAGACTCCTGCACATTCCATTTGGAAGACCTTTGTAGGAAGTATTGTCTTCCTAACACTGATTCTGTGTTTCCCAGGGAACCAGCTCCAAGTGATGATGATGATGATGAAAGTTTCTCCTGGCTTGAGGAGATGGGAGTCAAAGACAAGGTTAAGAAACCAGATGCTATTTCTATTAAACTGTATCCTTTCTTTGCACATCAAGATGTATGATGCTGGAAAACCATGCAGATGTAATCTTGTGGTATAGGTTTAAGTTTTATAAAAGCTTTTGAGACCTTATTTCCAAATACTAATCCTTGCATTACTGCATATTAAGATACTCTGCGTGTCTTTTTGAATTTCTTTATGACAAGTATTTCTAGATGTTTTTCTTCTTGAAGGAAAAGCCATTGTGAATTGTTAGTGTAACTTTGTAAGATCCATTAGGTCACAGACTGATCTTGTCACCTCATATAGGTTCACTGGCAAGACTCATTGGCTTTTAAAATTTTTTTTAAAGTGTGTATGTTCATTTAGGCTAGGTTTACACTTGAAAGTAGTGTGGCATAGTAGGGGGACAGCTGTAAACCAGAGCAACTGTTGTTGAGAACCTATAGGTGTTTCAGAGCGACTGATTAACTCTCTTCCCCTGATTTCATTTGCCTTCAGAGTACCTGATTTCTAATAATGAAATCAGAAGTCAAGTTTAAGATGCTGCTTAATATTTGAAGAACAAATCTGAATCAGTGTAAAGCTGGGTGGGGTTGTTTTGGGTTTTTTTGTTTAAATTACTTGATTGGTTGGGGGGAGGGAGTTTCTTCTGGAGTTGCACTGCTCCAATTCTTCCATGGTTGCACTGATGCTTTTTCCTTCCTCACGCCTTTCCTTTGACTCCAGTCAATACAGTCGTAAGGAGAAGCATGAGGTACAGATGGATCACAAACCCGAATCCCTCGTGTTAGTGAAAGGAACAAACACATTCACCTTGCTGAACTTCTTGATAAACTGTAAGAGTCTAGTGGCTGTTGCAGGTCCACAAGCAGGGCTTCCACCAACTTTACTGTCCCCTGTTGCTTTCCGAGGTGGAACAATGCAGACGCTCAAAGTAAGTAACACACTGTCTCTTTTCTAAGAAAATAAAGTTGTTTCTTCACTCAGTAAATTAGACGCTGCCTTTGTAGGGTTTCCCTCAGGTACAGCAGAGTCGTTTTTGTTGCGGTAGCCCGAGTTAGCATTTTGACTGTGATGCAGACTGCCTCCTAAATCGCCTCTATCCACATCGATCTCTGCTGCTAAACTGAAATCCCAGTATTTCCATTCTTCACATCCTGATAAATAAGAGGTTAAGCAGACTTCCCAGATACTAAAACAGTTGTTAAAAAGATTCTCCTGAGATCTCACAAGGTCTCAAACTGTACCACTGCTGCTTGTGATGAGGGAGCCTTGGACCCACGGCTCACTATCTCTTACTGGAAGAGGGGGTGTGTATGAAAGGATATGCTGGTAGTACAGGTAGCTCAGTCATCTTCGCCCAGAGCAGTAGTTCATCAAACTGTTCTTCTGTGGTTGACTTTCTTAATACTGTGTAGCATTCCTGCATATCACAGTCAGTACATTTTAGGAGTTGTTACAAAGATAGTAAAACCATTATTCTAATACTCTATACTAGTATTTACTAGAATATACAATTCAGTACATAATTCTAATGCATTGAACAGTAAATTGACAATATTGAAAAGCATTTTTAACTTTTAGTGGGACTGTGGCACTGCAGTATTAAAGTAAATTAAAATTAGGACTTGATTTGGCACGTCAAAAACGAATCCTGTGTGGTCTTTTCTTCAGGCTCGCAGTCTAAATGCCAAAGCCAGGGTTCACTTGGCCTACGAGGATATATTCAGTCTGGAGATCGTAGGCCCCATCCTGCCTCACTCCCTGCATTCACTGACGATGCTGCTCAAGGCCGCGCAGGGGGGAGCATTCTCTGCTATATTATATACCCATGAGCCCACTGCCGTGTTTAACACTAATCTTGACGCTGCAAGCCCTGCCTCAAATAAGGTAAGGAAATTAGCAGAGACGATCTTTCCTGTTAGGAATAGTATCTTTATTACAAACAATAGGACACCGAGTGACACAAAACTTTCCCTTAATACATGGGTTTACACCCAATTACTTGTGATCACCAGCTGGGAGCCCTTGGGACTGGTCATTCCCTCAGAAATGGAATCACAGGAAAAATGAGCTTTTCAGGAGTTCCCCAGAGGCACACCAGTGAACATTAAGAACTACAGGTATTTCAAGCAGAAATACCTATTCCTTATCTCTGTTCTTCATGTGAATTTATGCAGGAAGCTGTATGCAAAGATCTTTCTACATGTGGACTGCATCCTAAGACACTGGATCAACTGAGTCAGTGTCCAACATTGGGAAAATCTTCCATCCGATTTCTGGAAATGAAGGATTATGCTTATACCTGGAAGTCCTAGGTATGCTAGTGCCATTGACTGGAAAAGAACGTGTAGTTGCTGTACTCATCTGGGTCTACACAGGTGGCACCTGTGCATCACCAGGAGGGATATAGTCTAGTTGAACATCACCTATCATTCAAAGGACTTTTGAGGGAAATTAAGGAAGAGGTCTTTTGTATTTTAGAAAGCCTTTTTTAAATAAAACTTGATAAAACATGATTATTTTATTGGTCTGAACTGCATCTGGAAGGTCAGTATTCTTCATGCACATGCAAACTCTATTGTAAAGTTCAGAATTTCTGCCACTGCTCTGTACAGTACCTCATAACCATTCTGGAGGGGTGGAATTCTTAGTAAAAAGCTTTCCAAGACTGCTTACAGGAGCTTGACAGCTACACCTTGGTATGTTGCACCTCTTGGTTTGGAGTCAGTTCTGAACACCACAAAGCCACATATGAAGTCAGATGGCCACAGGCACAGAGTTCTAGCTGCAGCTGAATCAGATTAAAGGTTAAGATTTGTCAGAATGCTCAGCGTGGCTGTAGTATTCCCATACCCACTTACATTAAAAGGAGCTGGACTGTTAGCAGCAATTTATACAAAGCATAACCTGAATCAGAACAAGCTGCACCAATAAAACTGGACAGAGAAAATGAGAGGAAGGACGCAGCTGCTGCTCTGACTATGTTCATAGTAAGAGTAGAATTTATTCACAGGTTTCATACAATCTGTTTCACTGCAGGTAGACTAAACCAAAGCTGGTATTTGGAGGTGTGTAGGTCACTTTTCACCCAGTTACGGGGTGATCAGATGCCTACAGCAGATTATACTAAAGCTAGAGAGCAAGATCTAGAAGAGTCATGCCTATGCCCTCCCACAAGATTCCTAATGCAGCCGCTATTTTACACAGAAAATAAAGCAGTGCTCATGCCCCATGGTCAGCTGCCCTCATCTTTACTACAGTGCGGTTCAGCTCACCATCTCTGTAGCGCTCTCTGATTCTGAAACAGTAACATTAGACTGGAGCCCTGACCTACTTGAGGAAAGAACCTGTACACTTTAAAATGTGGGCACTTATTGCAGATTGAGGCAGGATGAAAGCTTCCTGTGCCATCCAGTTACTTTGATCATCACTGCTTGAAGGATCCTACCCTGAGAAGACGGTATGTATACAGTTACCCTGGAAAACTTTCTATTTGTTACCTTACAGTAACTGCCTTGACACTCAGCTCAGTGCTACTGTGAAGAACACAGCATCTTGAAAAACCTAGGTAAAGTCACTCTCTTATGATGGAAAAGGCATCTTTGAATATTACTTTGATTAATGTCAAATACTTTTTCTGGTGGAGTTCAGAGTAGTACAATCAATCTTTACGCTTGTCCCTAACTAATCTAGAAGCAAATTACAGAACTTTTCCTCCTTTTGCCCTTCCATCAGACACCAAGTGAAAATCTAGTGCTACTGGCAGCATGGGAAAGAGCAGAAAATGGGGTTTCTAAAGGGGGTGGTGTGTTTAACTACACTTCCATTTCCAGTCACTCTTCATTTGAGATTAAGTTAACTCAGTGCCATCACGATCTGGTTTGCCTGCCTCCACCAGCCATAGCCTCTGCCACCGGGCACCATAGTCCGCTGAATCCGCACACCAGCCCAGCTGTAGGGCACCAGCAGCGGTTCTCACAGCCACCATGTTCCGGTGTGCCCAGCCGCATGCTGCCTCCCCTGCTGTCACACGGGTGAGCTCTTGGGAAAGCTGCTCATCACCTCAGAGCCCACTGCCCAGTCTCCAAACAGGTGGCACCTTCCCAGCATGTACTAGAGGAACTGGCCTCCTTCCAGAGTGTGTTAGCACATGGAAGAAGTTACTGGAAACAATAGGAAAAAGCAATTCTGTAGCTGCCTCCATGGGAAAGCAATTTTAATCGAGCCAATAACCATTCTGGTATGTGGCCTTGAGCCTGTTTCTAGGAAATATAGTCATTAATTTCAGTTCATTTGTATTTTCACATCTAGCATGTGAGTTACAGCAAGATGCTAACACCAATTTTTAAAAATCTGACTTGCAATTACATTCGTGTAGTCTAGAACTGCGTCATTTCAAATATTTACCACAAAACTTTAGCACAAGCACTGCACCATTACTGGAGCTGTAGCTCCTCATCAATACTGTAAAGTGTTGGTTTTAAAGCCATAGCTTTGCCTGTAATTTCATCAGCATATTCCAGTTGCTTACAGCTCTGGGATTCAGTGGTGTTCTTGAAGCACACTTGGCTCCAATGAACCTTTCCCATAAAAAAAGTTAACAGCATTATGCTACCCCGTCTGCTGCTTTCCACCTGAAGGTATTTTCAGTAAATACTACCATAATTCCAGATGCTTGTAGAGCAGTATGATTTATTTAGCCTATCCAAATGGGTGAATTTTATCACAACTGTGATTTATTTGGGAGAGTTAGGAACTGAAGCAGTTGGCTCCGACTTCGTATAGTTCTTGCACCTGAAGAGGCAATTTTACATTTCCCAAGGCACAGGAACTTAACCTTCCTGCTCCCCCAGTCCTAAATATTTAAAAACTACAATTAGAAGATTGCCAAGAAATCGTTCTGGTGGAAGCTGGCTACGAGTTCTTGGGCACCTGTTTCAAAATGCTCCCCGCCACAGGGATGTCAGAAGCGCTTTCACCGAGATTACTTCTAGGAAGATAATTGTGTAGAGCAAAAGGAAATCCAACAGCCAAACAGATCATGTCTTCCATCAGCAGGAGTCACAGACTATTCACCTTTAAGACAGCTAAAGTGCTGCATAAATAACCAGGTTCCAAGAGAGGGTTTCCTTTTCTTTTTAATATATCACTACTTATCTATTCCTGCATGCAAAGGACACTCAAACCAATTCAAATTTACAAATTTAACAGAAGCACATCGCTGCACTAGCTTTAGATTCATATATCATTCTGAACAACAAGGAACTGAACTAAAACAGAAACCTCAAAGAGTGTCATAATTAGGGCATAACAGACCTTAATTTTCCTTTTTTTGTAAGTCTTAAGACCAGAGGTTAAACCCACATACAGTACCACATCTGTAAGGCAGGAAATCCAGAACTTGCATAAATAGTTACTTTTAAAATGGTGCTGTCAATGGGACTTATTTCACCTGCTCTTTGCTGCTGTGAGATAACGTGTATCTTTGCATTACACATGGGGAATATAGACCCCAAAAAAGAACAAATAACAAGAGATTGTACATTCCCAGATTTGACACTATACAGCTGTGAAACCAATGCTGACACGGACACCACAGATGAAACAGAATGATCTACATCTCTGATGTTTTAGATCTATCAAGCCAGACATTTAAACAGAAGTCTGATTAGGAGCTGCTCCCACATCCCGAATTACTTCAAGTCATACATCAAAAAGCCAAACTCCAGTTAAGACAGATACACCCCGTTCTCCCACTGCAGATCTTTCCATTGCTGTACTACTGTATTTACTTTTGGCTTTTTATACACACCTTCCAACTCATTCAGCAAATGAGGTAAGATCATCTTCAAACATTTAGTCAGAGACTGAAGGTGAGAAGCCGAAGGGAAAAAAGTTTAATTAGAGACAACTACGTCCATGAAAATTAAGATTAACTAGACATTTCTAGAGCGCTTTGACAGACTAGTAAGGGGCTTTATTTCTCAAAAGTGTGTGGTGGAGAACCAAATACCATTTCTCTGTTGTACGAAACATGAGACATTGATCCTTGTCCCTTAAGGGCAAAGACAGACACCTTGTTCTGTTAACAGTTGACAGATAGACACAAGTTACCTTACTTTGTGAAAGAAGAGGTACTAGTAATTCTTCACCCCCACGTTCCTACTACTCTTGCAAAGGTCATTCACTTTAGGCCTGAGCACAGCCTTAGTGCACACAAACGATACTTTGTTCCTGTCCCAAAGCAAGCTCTGGTCAGTAGATGTAATAAAAAGACTGACCTCAAAAAGACTTTTCTGAAATAAGCACCTGAACTACTAAAGTCCATGAATCTTGGCGGTCTGCTCGGAACTCAGACAAATCTGGCAAGAGGTATACAATGCCCTTTTCAATTCAAAGTGCACATAGCTAAAGGACTAATACTTAAATTTAAAAAAAAAAAAAAAAAAAAGAGGAAGGGGAAAAAAAAAACCAAAAAACAAACCAACCCACAGGAAAAGCTTTCTACATCCTCTCCACTGTCAAACTGCCAAAACTCTGGATCAGGCTGTCTCCTTGAGGGCAGAGTACCATTACAGAAAATTTAAGCCCCAGGAGTTAATTTGGTAATAGTCCAAAGCAACCAAAAATGACTAGAACTGATTCTGCAACCCTAACAGCTGTTGAAAATCTTCATAAAGCGTACTTTTATACTGTGCGTTTCTTCAAAAAAGTTGTTTTGGCATACATTTTAATTACTGTTTACTGACCAGTGATTAAGATTATGAACTTGTGCTGCTTTATTGACCAAGTTGGGTACATCAATTTTAAGCATCATTCTATCCCCTCCCTCCCCCCCCAAATCCAGTTGTAGATTTGTTTCAAGAGTTTAAAATTCACATTAACCACAAATTCATACAATCAACATCAGGCAGCGTGTTAATTTGTTTGGAATAGACAACTCCGTCATCTCCCTTCTCAGAACATGCAGGGAGAGTCACCTTTACATTGCAAGTCTCATCGGTTCCATTGCTGGACTTTCTGCCACCCTTCTGAAAGCCAAGTCTTTTGCCTAATCACATCTGTCCTAGAGTACGGGCTGTACGGCCAGTCGCAGTGTACCACTGAGTTAAACCCCCGACCAAAAGCCAAGGAGAAGCCACGGTGCTAACGCTGTACAACAGGGCTACCACCGCCTGCCTTCTCGCAGGGGTCACAGTACTGGCCCAGTATCTGTCCAGCAGTACACGCCAGCCTCGACGAGACTAAGGTAAGCTGTGCGACTTTTTACCAGCTGTCGGCAAAAGCGCAGGAGTAGCTTTACCGAGACCAGGGAAAACTGCAGCATAGTACAAAACAGTATGAAAGTGTTAACATTCCGTATTGAAGAGAAATTGCATGAGTTTTAAAACAAGGGTTTAGATTACTGATGCCTCCAGAGTCTGTCATCTGATTTAGTCATTTAAGAAATAATTACATCACTAATGTAAACAATATAAACATACCAAAAACTAAGTATGATTTAAATACATTTTGATGGTACAAAAGAAAAACCTGAAGGTGTCTGTACAGTTTTTACAACGTGGGAATTGCCAATGTATTTACAACATGAAAGGGCAAATACCATTTTTGTGCAGAGTAAAATTATCTGAAATAATGTCAATATAAAAAACAATATCTAGCGGTGTGAGGCACTCCTAAACATGGTGGTATTAACCATGCTTTCCTTTGGTACAAGTCCCATCGCTTGGAGAGCCGCAGTTGCTGCTGTGGCTTTAGCATGCTTCTTATTAAGGCTGGCAAAAGTAGGCCTATATTCATTTCCATTGACTCTCACCTGTTTGCGAAAGAGAGGGAGGAAAAAAGAAAGCGTTAGAAAGGGCCTCTTCACTTCTGTTTTAAGACAGTGCTACAGAGCTCCACCAAGCACATTCCTTATATAATTCCTCTTTAAGGGTAGACAAAATCCACATCTGGTCTGCAAGCACAAGCATTTCCAAGTAGTAACTGCCAATACAAGATATTACATGAAAAAAGCAAGCCCACATCATAACTGAAGGATAAAACCAATCCAGTATTCACTACCTTTACAAAAGTAAGGCTTAACATCATACCTACAAGTAAACGATCAAGAACATGATACCACACAGGTTTAATAATTGTATTAAGAAGTGGAATGCTGTGTTTCTTCACACATTTACAGGTTATGTGCTTGAGAGATCTGATTTGGCCTTTACAGAAACAGGACTTTTAAATTTTAGCATTGAGACACTGCTTAGCAGTCCTCAGCCACCAGTCACAAGGCTGTTATGTTTATATATGAATTTATATACATGAATTTACACCACCTTTAATAGAGAAACTAACAGCAAACAAGGAAACTCAAACGCACCTTAAAAATAAAATGCTTGCGATGATCAGGCCCACTATCATCCACCAACACAAATTCAGGTGGTGACCATCTTCTTTTGTTACAGATCTCCATCAATGCAGAAACTGGATGTTTACCTTAAAGATAAAATGTATTTGAAATTTCAATGATGCTCTTGAAGCAATCATTGTCAATGAGATTTTTTTTTTTTAAATAAGTAAAAAAATCTCACCTGAAAGATCCTTCATCACAACGTAATGTCCAGATCTCTTTTGTGCCTTCTCTCCCACAGCAACAAGCCCTGAACAAAACACAGTAATGTTTACATTTATGATTCCCACCTGGGTTCTATATTCTCATCAGTAAAGCAGTAACATGTACCAGTGAAACCTGGAGACACAACACAACTGCCTTTTCCGAAAGCTTTCAAACTCCCTTCCATCCCAGCATTTTTTCCCCCTCCATACTACATGTAACATTCTTCCCAACTGCTCTAGTAAGACTCTTAACAAGCCAGGCAGTAGAAAACTTCTGAGTAGTCTTATGCAAGTAAGGGAACACCTGGTTTTCTGTGCCTTCTTTGGAGAAACACTGAACAAGAGAGAAACTTAAAAACATTCATTATTTGTTTTGTGCAAACGAAGAGTCATCTGCTACCTTAACAGTTTGCCTCTAATATACTAAACCTCTGAAGTATTTTCATGAAACAGTAAAAAGTACCTAGTATATCTTTTTTTATGATATGAATAGCACAGTGGTGTTCTTATAACATGTGCTCTCTTTATGTAACTATTTTAATACTGATCCTTTAGGTGCATATTCACAGCCCAATTACTGTGATTTCAATCACAGTGAATGTGAAGTAGAAGAGAAGCATGCAACTGGGCTCCGAGTCAATACAAAGAACACAAGTTCACTGTGAAACACAGAGGCTGAACATTTTTCTTTTTAAAATCTTGCAAGAGCAAGACATAAAACATAACAACTGCCAAAAATGTATCAAATGCCAATTAATCATACCGTGCTTAAGAAGTAACTCAAGTTTCTTTCCATTCATTTTGCCATTACCTTACATGTAAACGAAACACCTGACTGTTTTTTCAGATTTTCCTGGGACTTCAATCCTTCAATATCATTTGCTTCTTACCTCAATATGTTTCTGTTCCTGGCTTTGGTGAATAAAGACAGGGAGATACTGCAATTGTTTCCAGTTTCTTCCTGTTCCTTCAGCATTGTTTGGTTGGCATTTTATTTTGTTTTGCTTTAGAAGAAAATCCTTCCCTCCTGACCAGATTTTCATCCTAATATTCCAGCTCATAAGTAGGGACTTTGAGTGGCATGAAACCCTCATAGACAATAATCATTGAAACAAAGTTTCTTTTTTTTTTTTTTTCCTTACAAAATTTTATATCCAAAATAACCAAAGATTTCCACCCAAGGAAAAAAACCCTCTTCTATCATCCTCACATTAACTCCAGTTAATACTGTGTCTCCCTCACTCTAAGTCACTGACGCTTGCCTTCCACATTTTGTCCCTGGTACCTCAGGAGGGATTTTCAAAAAAGCAGAAACAGACTCCTGACAAGCTCTACTGATGGACCAAGTTTCTTTCAACATAGACAACCAACAATTTACTGGCTGACAGCAAAGCTCAAGAAGGGTTTGGTTTCAATGCTGTCTGTAGAGAACTAGAGTTCACTCTCTATCTAGAAAAATCAGGGTCTAAGCAAAAGCTACAGCAAAGGCAGACAAGTGCAGCCTACTGAGTAACCCCTTTGCAAACTGCTTGTTCCTGTAACTACACATAGTATTTGTTTGGGGAATAAGTTCCAAAAACATGTTAAAAAATCCTTACAAAACAAGAACATATTGGTTAATAACAGACAGACTCCTTTTAATCATTTCTGACTTTTCTTTAAACCTCTGCACAGAACTTTAAGAAAAAAATACTCTATACAGTTAATATCAAAGAACACTAAAGTCTGAAGAAGCTCTTCAGCTACTCATCATAAATGTTCAAGTACTGTTCAGCTGCTTCTTTGTAATGCACAAAACATGCTGCTTCCTCTAACATGAACTGTCTTCCCATATTATATATATATATATATATATATATATAAAAGTATTCTTTATCAAGGCAGAACGCCTTTAGATTTTTTGTGGAAATTATCATTTAAGATTGCATGTATGATAATAACCAAATATTTTAAAACTATGAAAATTAAAGCAAAGCCCAGCCTTCACTAAGGTTATCAGTATTTTCAGATTAATCTATCGCATTCCAGAAAGAGGCATCCTTTAACTCCATCTAACATTTCTGTTATAGAGGCACAGCATTCTGAAGCAGAGAGAGCAAACTACCTGTTACAGAATGCCCAGCACAATGAGGATCTGATCCTGTCTCAAGCCTTAGGGCTTGATGTTAGAAATTTCAGTATGAAATTCTGTAAGCATTAAGGGAATTTATATCAGAAACCACATGAGGATCCTGATGCACACTTCTAGAACTGGAAATTCAAGCTGATACAGCTCTGTGTCACCAAAATGTTTTTAAACGTTCAAAATGTTCACAGGTTGTGCAGCAATACTGACTCTTTCCTAGGACGTGACAAGAAGCAAGTGCCATAATGAACAGAGCTAACTCTTCCCTCCTGTCCACAAAAAATCCATCCCTGTTATGCAGGCTGGTTGAGCAACTAATACTGAAATCAACTGGTTTCCACTTCTTCCCTCTGATATTCATCAAGCTAAATTGAAGGAACTCTTACCAGCAGTGAGAACGTTACAAAAAAACATCTACAAAGATCACTGCAACTGATCAACAGTAACAATATATTTTTCAAACATTTTCTTGGTAATCACTCTGTCACCAGGTATCTCGCTGCGCCCACCCCCCCCCACACCTCTGCACAGAAGAAAAACAGCTATAAAGCAAGTTTGGTCATTGTTCATAGACAACGAAGATGTCTATTACTGTGTTCTGTACTTTGAGACTGCTGCAGTTTATAAAACTGTATTATGCTGTTAGAAGGTCTTTAGAATTCAGAAGGCAATGGATATTTTCATAACACAGTTTGCCTTCTCATTTTCTACCTCTTTGCACTTCATATTTAAATGTTTTAATTTTACTTTCACTGCTAGCTTGGTCACCTGAGCAGTACTGAACCATCTCTGTATTGAGAACTAGCATTTTGACACCTAAAGATTCCTCCAAAAACATCACTGCAAATAAACTCATCATTTGCATTTTTATGCTTTTTTTTTTCTTCCTAGATCAATTATGAGCATTGAAAAAAGCTCACACAAACCCATAATTCAAAGTATTTTCAGGCTTTAATATTAGATTACTTAATATATTAAAGGTTCCCAGTTCTTAAAAAATATTTAGGAGAACAACAGTAAGAATTTGTTTTCCCCACATGGGTGTTCAACTGTTTATTGTGGTAACATGTATAATAGAATAATTAAATCATAAATTGACTGCTGAAATTTGCATGTTGTATTTAAAATGGTTAGAACTTGCATAGATATTTCTGATGGAAATTTTCATAAACATTCACTTTGAAAACAGAAGTCTTGCTGAACATGCTGGTGAGACGGCCAGTCATATAAACCACACTGACAGCTTACGCAGCAGTGGGCTGGCCTATAAAAAAAAAGATAGTTCTTTTGACCCAAATGAGCCAAGTGCAACAGTTCTCCACCTGTGGCTGTGGACTATATAAAAGAGGAAGAGGTAATATTGCTAAAGCAGTCTTTAAAAACCATCAGTGAAACATCACTGTAGTTGAGCAGAGGTGCCTGCAGCAGGATCAAACCAGGAGACAGAACAGCAGGGAGATCAGATGGACAAAAAAGGCAACAGAATCCATTTGGAAGATGTAGAACCATCAGTATGACAGTCTATTCATGTCAGGACTTCAGCTGAAAGGCAGCAGTAACTCAACTCTGTAGCTCTCACCTCTGTCCTTCACCTCAGTTTAAAACTGATCAAATTATTCAATCTTCTACCCTGCCCCATTCCTGCTTCAGCCACTTTCTCTAGACCAACCACAACAGCTTTTCCACAATTCATTTCCCTGTCTGTGCCTTCCTACATCCAACTGAAGCACATCCCTTATTTAGGAACCACCAAGAAGCACTTTTTAAAATGGAAAGTGAAGGTTAGGGACAGGTAAGAACATCTGGAAGAGTTCACAGATGTAAGGACAAAGCCCCTATCTAAATTTGGGGCTTGAAAAACTAGTATCAAAAGTCATCTACATCATTCTCTTAATTTTTACAGTGAAACTGTACCCAGAAAAAGCTCACTACTTCAAAGTTATCTTGCCTATCTCCAAAACAGACATAAGAAATTCATACTGCCATAAGACATTTATGGAAGGGCTTACCTTTCCGATCTGTCTTAAAATCGACCATAATAGGCTCAACACTGCCTTCTTTGTTTTTTCCAAGCCCTTCTCCTTCTCTCCAGCCCATTTTTCTCATCAGTTGAGCTCCCATTCCTCCAGTTACAGGGGCTGCTCTTAAGAACTGATCCTATCCAGAAAAAGAAAAGTAAAACAAGTCCTAAAGTTAGCAGAGGGATTTTAAAAAATAAGTGGGAGCTTCCAAAAAATGTTTCTAACAACCTTTCACAGACTCAATTCAAAAAAAATACACCTTAGCTTTATATACATTAACATTTTGTATAAACCAGAATTCACGCAGACACACGAGACACAAATCAATATGTTCAAAAAAGAACAACTTAAGAAAATTCTAATGCAATCCAAAATCAGCAAGTGACCCATTTCAGACATATGTATTTAATAAAACAATAACCGTCCATTTTTAAGCACGCTACTTTGGTTCCAATGCATCTCTTCTCATCTTGTGAAAGGAGTCAGTGTTAACTGTTTAACTGGCAACATGTTTGCCAAGTGTACCTAGTTATTGAACAAAATACAAGCACATTTAGCAATGACATTCACATAGTGTTTAGGCGTATTTTAAATATAAAAAAAAAAAAGTTTTCCCATTTTATTATACAGCAGTTGCACATTCAAGTTCTACTCTGAAAATCCACATGAAACATACAGGTTTTTATTTTCTTTTTTTAAAGGAAAAAAAAAAGGCGCTTAGCCACACAGTTTAGCAGCAGTAGTCTTCACATTCTTTCAAATAATCATTAACATAATAGTTGTTAAATGGTGAAAGCTTATAAACAGAAATTTTAAAAATCTGTTTTGATGTAAAGAACTTTAAAAACTCCTTAAATGTTTACGTACCTAGGCCTCGATGGCCGCAGTGTTGTGAATAGTAGGGCTGGCATTGACCGTGGCAAGAAGGCAGCTACAAGGATTTGACCCTGAAACAAGTTTCCATATAGAGGGGTGAAAGTTCACAGGTTATTCTGTGAACTATCATCTCTCTTCTGCCCCCCCCGCTGACCCAAGTAAGTAAGTCAATCATTTCCATCACAGCAAAAAATTGCTTGCCTTAAAATATACAAGTTTACACACTGGCACTGATAAGTCCATCAGTTATTTCGCATAGTAGGTTACTTGATACATTGCCTAGCATTTTTGTGAAATGTTTATACTCACTATCAAAGCAAATTAATAGAAATATTTTTTTTGCTTTATTTTGAGTTGTGCTTGCAAAAGTAAGCATCTCCCAGATTTGGACAAAGGACTGACAGGTCCTGGGTTTTGATCTGTATGTAAACAAAACCAGAAGTCTTACTTTTGCAGGGACTAAAGATAATGTATTTTTAAGGGGATTTCAAATTGGCGACTGACACGCACTAATGATGCCTGTGTGTAATCCCCGCTATACATGGTGTTAAAAAATTTTTTTTAAAAAGTAATTGATGAAGATTGTGGCAGGATTTCTCCAAATATTTACCTATTATACAGTAAATACCTATCAATCATGCAACTGGATGCTGCATTTAATAACAAAGCGGTCTGATGGAAGAGTAGAGAGGCTAAGTGCTCCTCTCCAAATTTTTTCTGACTGGTGCAGACCATGCAGTGTGTGTGTACACAGAGACAATCAGTTTCTCCGATATGAACTGCCTCAAACTATATACCTAGAACAGCTTTTACTTACTTCCATTTTCATCCTCCCCTCTCTTTTCCAGGAACCTCTCATAAGAAAAGGGCAACCATGCCGAGAATGATACAAACCCCAGTCAATGTCACCCTGGGTTCCGATTCCTCTTTTGTACCTGCTTTGCAATGATAGAATTTTCAATATAAACATCTGTTTCATTATCACCAGTGTGTATTCAGTTCACAAATGACAGAGTGCAATTTCTTGATGAGGTCACTTTAATGTTACACAGCTTTCTCATCACACCTGTAAATGTACTAATTCAGGTGTTAGGAGTGGTGTAGAAAGGAGAACAGAATCAAAAATACTGCTATTTGTAGTGAAAAATCAAAGCCCCAGGTTCCTATATAGGAATTACCAGGGCCTGAACAAATTCCAAACACTGGAAATAAAAGAGAGTCCTAAATTCCAAAGTGTAATTTATTAAAAAAACCCTCTTGTAATGTGTGAATTCAGAATCCTATCTGGTAACTTTAGTAGGAATTTTTTACACTATGCTGACTCTTAAACATGTGCAACAGAACCGAGACAACAAGGAATTAAAAAATGAAAGTTTTGTTTCATTGCAGAATAGCTGTATTCAGGTATCACACTAGAAGGCTAAATTAAGTAATTCTGGTACCAATATGAAAGGAGCCAGGATAAGCCTACTTTGATTCAGTTTACTGAAGAAGCAAAGGCCTGCATCTGGGGAGAAAGTTATTTCAGTTTGGGTTTTTTTTAAGTAATAAATTGAATATAAATCTCTAATGTCACCTGTACAATTATATTATCTTCAACTGTTTTTCTATAATTTAATGACAAGACAACTTCACTCAGCCTGTGATTTAATAATGGGTAGCGCTGCATTTGTAATGACATTTGAAAACATAAAAATAGTAGAAACATTATCAAAAACAGGAAAGCAAGATAAAAATTTCTTTTCAGTTTTATGAATCACAAAATGCCAAGTCTCACAAAACTATTTAGCAACTATGTACCCTTGCAGATCTGGCCCATAGTGAGGATATCAAATGGAAGAGTACGTAACACAAAAACCACCCAGGTTTCTAAGTATTTGGTTACTGTTGTCAGAAATAACTATTTCTAAAACAATTGTTCTCTTTCATTCACTAATCTCAATTTCAGTAGACATGCATGAAAATTTAGTATTATTTTTCTCATCATTTGATCACTATATTCCATGAAAGGTCAGCCAAATAAAGCACACTTCCATTCTGCCAGCAGGTGGCGACAACTAATAGGCCACATTCTGTGTCAACACTGTCTTTAATAAGGCTACATAGTAAAACCTAATCACTTAAGAGGGTTTTTTAGTAATTTTAAACTATTCCTCTTTTAAAGCTACATTAAGGCAACAAATCTGGGGGGACATGAATGCCCGAATTAGCATTTTAAGGGCTTAAACAAACAAACAAACAAATCACACCTTGAAGATAATTTTACAGTTTTTTTTCTGAAACACAAGTTGGGACAGTCACCCTTGTTTAACAGCAACAGCTGTTTTGGGGAAAAAGATAGCATACAGCATTGAACTGAACAATTTATAAAACAGCACCTGCAACATCTGAAATAGGAAACCCACAAATATTTGAGATATCTTAAAATACATCTTCAATTTCTGCTCTCTGAAAAGACCCGTTCCTTCTCACAATGCTGACAGGACCCTAAAACATAAATTGTCAGGAGGAAGGTTTATTTCTTTGGAGCAATAATTTATTAAACAAAGGACAACAAAGCCTTAAAGGCAGTAGGTGGACAGTTTCAGCTACAGCAAAGTGGGCTGTCTAAAAGATTACTTTAAGACTAACTCCAAAGAATTTCCGAGTCAAGTACCAGGAACAAGCATCTGTCTTTGGCAAAACTTTTGCAAAGTAACTGAACTTTCCATTAAATGCACTGGCACTTTTGGCAGCAGCCACATTCCTTCCCCCAGCACAAGAGGAATAATACCTTTCTGAAAAATCCCATCAAATGCCTCACAAAAACTATGCTCACCATCAGTTTCAGGATTTCTGTTCACAGCTTTTGCATATAATCATTATAAAACAAGCTGAGACTAGCTGGAAAAACAAAACAACTGAACAGGGAGCCAGTCCAATATAACTAGCATACAGCTGATTTGCCTTGCACATGGCCTTCATTTCCAAGAAAAGCTCATTGTGTCATATAAAGCAACCGGAATACAAGTATTTTGGTAAGTGGCCTTGTTAGAAGGTCAGCAGTCCTCCAAGTGACAATCACAAGACACAGTTTTACCTCCATCATTAGCATGAGTCTTGCTAATCTGCTATGACTATGGAAGAATGGAAGGTATCTTGAACTTCTCAGACCTTGCTAAACAAATGAGAGCATTCTAATGGTCAAACTGTGTGTCATGCTTTAGCACAAATGAATGAAGCAGATCCCTAGCATTACCCTGTGTGCATAAAACATTGCAGAAATCTTGTTTGGAGAGCAAGTTTAGTCTATAGAATGAAGCTGATAAATCCAGAAATAAGTGGTGAGTCTGAGAAAGTCTGGGTAAGTTGACCTCAACAGAATTTGCTTGGAAAAAAACCTTATGTGACCACTTCCTCTGATCTGACATCTATTCAGCAGCACAGTCTATTTGTAAGAAAAAAACAGCAACATCCAGAACAAGTCGGTCGTATTTGTGAACTGATTACACCAATGATGATAAACTGAAACAGAAATCACTTTTCAAAAGAAAAAGATAATATTGTTCATAAATCTGTTTTACTGATACAAGAAACCTAACAACACATTATTGCTTTACAAATACTGCTCAGAACCCTATGCATGAACACCATGAATTAGCACATTACTTACAAACCATACTTCTAATTGGTATGTCAAACATTCAAGTATGCCATGTTAACCACTTCCGTAACTAATTTCCTTAAAATTGTATTGAGATAAAATTGAAATTGCAGGCATATTTTGGTTTGAGTACATATTACCTCTCCAGAGTCATTTTTAAAGTACAAAAAAATCCCCTGAAATCCAAGAAATGCAAAGTGAAGACAGCACTTATCAAACAAGTTCCCCGAGTACTTTAATTTTTCTCCCCTCCTGAAACTGCTCTTCTGTTTCGTTTTATCTGTCCAGTTTTGTGATTCTCTCTGTCAAGCACATAGTCTGTACATGTTCTAATTCTCTGTTTAATGATATACAACTAACTAGCTGACATGGGCCCTGTTTCTGCTAAACAGTGCACGTCCATGAGTCCTCTCATGGCAATCTCCCAAGAAAAATGCCTTGAGTAAACAACATCTTCAGTCAGAAACGTGCATTAATTCACACATACGACATACCCCCAGAAACTCCAGAGCCCTAGTAGAAGATGAAAAATTTTAAAATACTACTTTTTTTAAATGTTAAAACACATTCTTAGAAATAAGAAAGAGAGTATGAGTCTGACTTCTCAGTGCTACATTGCATAATTAACAGGAACCAAGTTACACAACTTCAAGTGCCTAAGTAAAACACAACCTGTACTTTGCATTTCATGGTTGGTTTGCATTCATGTCACTGAGAAAGATAACATGCATTCAGAACCCATTATCCCTACTTCACTTTTTATTGTGGATTTGTTCTCTAACCACAGGATGCAACTCCATATGAAGTTCACCAAACCTAAGTTTTGTGAAAGCTTTCATAGTCCCCACCATTCCTACAAAAAACAAAACAAAACAACAGGGCGAGTCTTGTGTAGCCCCTAATGCATTTTGTAGAGGGCGCATGACTGTAACTACTTGTCATCTCACGCGTTTGATGGCAATGTGCGTGCGAATATGAAACCTGGAAAGAGCAAAAGAAGTCAAGCTGAGGAATGCCAGAGCAGGAAAGAGGACTGTGTCCTCATCTTCTTCACCCAACTCTTCTTGTTTCCAGTAGCAGCCTCCTTTCTGACAAACCACATGATGCTTGCTAGGGAGGACGCCTACTACTGCAAACCACTGTACATTTTTACAGCTATGAGAAGGATAGAAGCACTTCTGCCAGCTCATTCTTATTTCTACATTCAACAAAACGTTCCAATACGCTTCTGCTCCTCACAGCAGTCATGTCCACAAGCCAGAGACCAGACTCTTTTATCATTTTCTCCCTATAAAGCATTCTGTTGGGTTGTTGTTTTGTTTGTTAGTTGTTTTGTTGTGGATTTTTTTAAAAGCAGATCACAAAATGAAATCAAAAGACCAAGGGAAAGCACACTTGCCTTCTCCACTTGATTTTTGTTAGTGGACACTCCTGTCACTGTAAGGCACAGAAGACCACTAGAGAACCTCAAGGAATGAAAATAGGATGAGAAAAGGCGGCTTAGGAAAGAGATGATCAGAGATCCTCCCCTTCCATTGCCTTGGGAACTCACTCAAGGTACTGCAGAAAGGGAGAACTCTCCTAGGCTTGCTAAATCTCTTTCACAAGCCTCATGATAGAAAAGCTCTTCTTTTTCTCACCAATACAGCTGAGTGCTTTATATTTCTAATTTCCTCTGCCAGGGACAATTATTGTAATCAAGGCTAACATTCTGTTGCAATCTCAAAGTTAATAATTTTTAAAATAAGACTTTATCATCTACACTCTATATTAATACTGAGAAGAGCCCAAAAGATTCCCATCTAGCAACTAACTTGGATCTCTGTGTTGCCTGGTTCTCTGTATTGCTTGGCTATATAAAGTGGAAAAACAAGTTAGTGAATCTTGGCAGAAATATTTCTATTTTTAGGATGTTGTAATTCCAGGCTTCTGTGTTTAGTTTACATCAAGTTTCATGGAAAATTCTACCTAAGCCTCAAATCTAACCTACCAGTTTTGAGGGCTGCCTTAACACTGAGTTCTGGAAGGATAAGCAGATACAACATATATTCAACTACGTTACTTGCAAGACTGACCACCATAACTCATTATTCTTTTTGCCTGAAAGGTGGATATTGCTTGAATTCCTCAGTTCTACTTCTTGAAGGAGAACCAGTTCAGTATTCCTTTTCAAAGATGAAGTATGAATTATTAAACTTATAAAACGCATGTATGTATGACGCACCACACCCCAAAAATAAGCCAGTATTACTCTGCATAATGCCAATATAAGAGGAACTATTTCACTGAAGGATGACATTAAACCTATTAACCCAACTGCAACTCCTGGTTTAGTACTCCAGATCTTTGGCTCCCAGAAAACCCTGGTGATACAAATAAAGGCAAAGTAGCAATCAGATAGAACCAAGTCAAACAAAATGGCAGTTTGGGACTTGGTTCGCTGAAGTTGATGCCAAAACATCACTGACTTCAATAACATCAGGATCAAACCTTGCCTGATCTGTCCCAGTCCCGTAAAAGTAGTGATGGACCTACCACTGCAACCATACCAATATCATGAATGTCATTTCAGTGTAAGGTAACAGCATATATGAGCCAATGTGACTCAAGTACCGGACGCACATCTTATTGAAGTACTCTATGTCATGACCAAGACCTTAATACACAACAAAATGGATACAGCAGCAGCAAGTATCTAAATTCATCAAAGACAGTGATTTAACTCAACCTGTTGTATTTGACACATGCATTACCATAGGTTTTTAAAGCACATCTTCTGCATTTTGCAATACTTCCACTACTATTTAAAGTGTGATGGTTAGACAAGTATGTCTGTATAACTTCTACCTTTCTAATCCATGCTTGGGGACCACTGTTGGTCAGCTCATCTGAGGACAGTATCTGTGCTCCAGTACTTCCTGTGAACTGGCCAGGTATGGAGTTTGATTGAGCCCAGGCGTCAATCTACAAAATAAAAATAAAATGTTAAGACTAAAATAAAAATTTGCACATTCTTCCTTTGCAATTCTGTTTCTCAATAATCTTCAGAATGATTCCTCACTTACATTTAGTGCTATGTTCATTAATACTCATTTGTAAGCAGACGCTCCAAAAAGCTGAGTGTATGTCAACCTGAAGCCTGAGCTCAAAGTCTAGCAAGTTCATGGTTCATTGTTTGTTTATCCTCATAAATCACCATTATGAAGTGCCAAATAAAGGCAGAATTTTTAAACATGTGCTCATAAACTGGGCTTCCAAAAACCTGTACTTAAATGTGTAAGAAAAATCAGCTGGTATGAAGAGTAAAATGTTTACTTTCTTTAATTTCATGAGAAGTTTTTCCCATGATGAAGTGCAACGTACCTGTTCCTGTGCACGATTTAACATGCACATGGCCTCTAAATCAAACGTGTTTTCATTAAGCCTTTTCTGAGCCACTGCTCGATCATTCATAGCTGTAGTTATGTCCACACCCTAGGAAGAAAAATATTATTTTTAAAAATACATCAGACCACAATAATATTGATTTGATCTGGAAAAAGCTGTTGTAAAATAAATGCCACAGATACTACAAAGTTGGTTTACACATTGAATAGCTGGTTTGATATAAAAATAGGCAATGTGAAAAAAATCCTGGGACTACTTATTAAGTATATACAACCTGATAATTTAATATCACCTGTACATATAAGATATCAAAATAATTATTTTCAGAGAACTATTCTGGTCACAAAAAGTCCTGGTGTATAATACTTAAATAGCGAAGCATCTTCTTGTTCAATGGAATCTTAATAACCAACAGAATTAAATGTAATTTAGCTAAGAATTATTATTAAAAAAAAAGCCTTCATACAGAGCTGTTCACATGAGCACTCTACTATTAAGTGACACTGAAACTTCAAGCTGTATGTATAAAAACGTTACAGCAAGAATCACATGTATTCTACTAACTTGGCTTTAGTTGGTTATATCTTAATCTTCAGCCTAAAACAGTCTTGAATAAAAGTAAAGCCAGCCTGGTAGCTCATAAAATTGACCATTTTGGAAAGGTTTATTTAGATCTGTGCTGCTGAACTAAGTTTAGAATCTGTTTTTCTTTAAATTTTATTCATCTCACTCATACTAATCAGAATAATTTGGGTCAAAATATGGAGCAAATGAAGCAGCTCAATACAAACCTCTACTCTATGTGCAAAGCAATCGAAAGAGAAATCCAAAACATTTGGGGATATAAAGATGTAATCAATTATGGCTAGTATACAGCTCTTTTGCAAAATTACTTGTGCCTTGTTCTTCAGATGATATGCACTTTATGGATCATTTTATCTTGAAAGGAGAAAAAGAACAGTGCTCAGAGACAAGTGAAATTTCTTTAGAGATGAGTATGTGAAGGAGACTGAAAGGGCTGGGACCTGTTTGAAGCACAGAAGAAACCCAATAATCAAAACAGCAGGTGGCATATAGACATGTAAGTAATTTGATGGTTTAATTTTTAAAAAATTTGTATTACAAAAGACTTGTATCTTTTGTTAGGTACTAACTCATAATCTTAGCCTCTCACATATTATACTAAAGGGCCAGTACAAGACACTGAAACTAATTTTAAATTGACTCTGCTGTCCAGAAAAATACAGTTAATCCACAAAATACCTGTGACAGGAACCAGGTCAAGAATTTAGTAAATATTGAAAACAGTAAGAGACAGACATAAGTGTCTACAACTGCATAAAACAGAGTAATTACTTTTGTACTCTGGCCATTAAATCTTAATTTTAAGAGGGGCAATTTTTTCTACTGTTTAGGACAAAAAGTATTTCCTTTGGGAAGATCATTACTGAAACATCTGGCACCGACCAAGACAGACTTAAAATCCCACAAGTCCTATGTGTCTATGAAACTGACTTCGGTGTTTATTTATTGTCCCAGCTGACAAAAAACACATCATAAACAAGGTATAAGAAGAATTAAAAAGTTTTCCAGCAATCACCTAGCATGACAGTCAAAAAGAATGTCTGTTTACAATATACACTTTCTTGAGTTAATAGGTTTCCCTCACATAGTTACAATAATTCTTTAATGTTTTGTTTGTGAAACTGGTTCAGGAGATAAATAAAAGTTATTCTACTCACCAAAAGCTTCAATCCAGCAATACACATAGGCATGCAAGTAGTCCACTGAAACCACATTGGGACCACTCGCATACTTAAACACACATGTGTACTTTAGTGCTTTACCGGACTGGGGCCTATTAGTAGATACCCTGGTTAGTTAGAATTCCCATACACTTTCCCCACATGGTCAGTCACCATTTTGGAGACCATCATGGCTTTGTATTATGTCAAGACACTCGATGGCAGCTTTGGATCTTGAAAAAAAAAATATCTCTGCTTGAAGTATGAAAAGTTGTTATTATTTAGTCAAGTAAAACAGTTTCAAGTTCAGCATGCTATTCTCCATAAGAGTTCTGCCATTCCAATCCTGACTTTTAATGACATTTTCCCCACAGACACAAATCACAAATATTGAAGCAAGAAGGAAGAGGCTGACAATAGGCATTTTTGACATACTTTGTAGGTCCACCGATACACCAAATGCATTTACTAGATTTTTAGATCACGACGGCTTCTCTGCATAATAGTCATCTGCGTACACTCCAAACTTAAATACAACTCTGTACTTTCAAATATAGCTTCTTTCTCATAGGTTTCTCTGGCTTCTAGAGACATGCTGATGCTTCAGATTACAAGAGTTTTTCCTCCACCTCCTCCTACTACAAACAACTATATTAAGAGGATGAAGTTTTATTAAACCAATTCATAATATATTAGCAGGGCCATTCCAGACTGCTTATTCCCATAACTAGTTCTGTGACTTGAATAAAAACGTAACAATAAAGCCAAGTATGTATTTTTTAATGTCAATATAGACTTGAATCAGAAGTGTCACAATCAGATTTCAAAATTAGAAACACTGAATGTAGGTAAATTAAATGTCAAACTCCCTGAGGATCCAAGCACACTCCCCCACTACCCTACTCCAAGAGCAAGGGAGCTTATCTGGCTTATTTTGCTCAAAGAGAGCCATTTCATCCACAAAATGTCCTCATAAACATTTAAAAAATTAAGCAGAGAAGCACTCTGTTACCTTTCAGACTCCCTGTAGGAACACACAGGGATGCTGCTACTACAACAGTACTCCTGTATTTCAAAATTAAGGATTGTCAAACCCAAGGGGATGGTATGCTCTACTGTCAGCTAATCACCCTTGAAATCACCCTTAACACAAACCAAGTTAAGGTAAATGCAAATAAAAATATTTATTTACAAAATATAAAAACAGACAACATTGTTACAAGCATTTGTAAGGATACACATGACAGAAAGGAAAGAAAGTTATGTTTAATATATTTACTCCATTGTCAATTTTTAAGGCCTTTTCTACATAGTCAATACACAAACCATCAGTGCTTAGCTAACCCAATTTGTCAAAGACATGAGCGCTAGCATCCTTGGCAACCTGGATGCAGGGATCTACAGAGCTTGCCTAACTATGAGCATATCATTAACCATTTGAAGGACGAGACCTTTTACCATCTGGTAAAAACAGGGTCAAATGCCAGTATACAATGTTTCTATGCTCTGGACTTTTTACATATACACTAGTAAATGGGAATGACATTCTGCACAAATATTTCAGAATGTTTGTCTTATTAGTGGTTCACGACAAAGACCAAGTGGCAGTTACCATCTACACTAAGGGAACAATGAACTGAATACCTGACCATCAGACTCCGAGGTATGCTATGAAAATGTCTGTTAAATGAGTTATATTCACTGTGCTGTTGGTGCTGTAAATGACCCAGAAGAAAGTATCTTCTGTGCTTCAGGAAGTGAACTGCACAATCTTAGAAAGTTCTTGAAAAACTAACACATCAAGTGGAAAGATTGCTTCATCAGAAATTGATGCCAAGGCTTTTTTGTTTATTTGCTTTGTAAGGTATGAGAACAAGTCTTCAGGTGGAGTAAGGTTAACATAACTTGAAAAAAATCTACATCTGTCTTAAATATTTAATTTACTTAATTACAAAACCCCCACAAAATATCCTTTTGAAGACATTTCAAGGGGAAAAACATTCGCGCTTTTTTTTTTTCCTTGTTATTATACATACAACTAGATTTTCCTTTGGAAGGACACATGGAAGACAACTTGTAAGAAAATGTGACTGTAAAGCTAAGAAATTATTATATATATCCAGAGGAAATGGCAGTTTTAGAAACTACTTTCAAATCTATTTTTAATGGATTACATTCCAATGCAACGTTATTGCTCTAAAAATCAGTAGGACAATTCTAATTATTATTAAATTTATAATTATGTAAGTAGCAACTTAGGGTATTAGTTTCTGCAGGAAACTGGACAAGAAACCTGCTTTTCATCTTCAAGCAAAAAATTTTAAATTCTAGTGGGACAAAGTAGCTACAAGTTGACAAAAGCACACAATATGGTTACCGGTTGCTTTCATCATTGGCCACGTGAGCATGACAACCAAATCTGAAGACCACAACAGTTCAGATAAATAGCTTATTTAAGTGTTAGATACTACCTACGTAAGCGGGTTTTTTTCACAGGCTGCAATTTGATACCAGACTGACCAGGTAATGGTTTTGGTTTTCTTATATGATATGCCTTCCTTCCCTTCCTTACCTCAATGGATGGTTTGGGGAAAACATCATCCTTGCTTTCTTCTTTGCCTTTTTCAACTGGAACCCATTCTCCATAGACACTATCTGCTTCTTTTTTCCTATGTTGAGACCCAGATGAAACAGGAAATTCCTTTGACAGGCTGACCTGATTTTTTGGTTGTGGTGGTGGTGCTGGTTTTATGCTTGGAGTCTTAAAGAAATAAAATTAGAAAAAGTTAAAACTTGAAAACACACAATATTCACATGTCTTTGAGAAACAATTTATTGCATGCACTTGGTATTAAGTTTTCATAAAACAGTCATCTTTCCTAGCATCAGAACAAAAGCCTTTTTAACAAATAATTTGAGCACAGCCCTAAAAACATGCAAGTGAGCAACAAACTGCAGTGTAAGAGCAGATGAAACAGCTAGAAACTAATATAGCTTAAATCAGCTTCAGCAGCCAAAAATACACAAAATCTCTCTCTCACAATTAATGTCTCTGCTTTCTCTCCACCCCATCAGAAGGAGAACAATCTTAATCTGCCACACATGCATTTTGTAATGGAAAGCTCAATAATAAAAATCCTGAACAGCAAAAAACATCGGCTGTGATATCCACATGATGATAAAAAGCTCTACATTACTATACACAGAGAGAGCCGTTTTCAACATTTTGTTTTCTAGTTAATAGCAGCATGAATCTCAAAGTAGATTAAGTCTATGAGCTTGTTTTCCTTAGACAGTATTGCTACTAAATTTAGAGTCTACAGAAATCTCTTCACAGTTTCCTCTTCCAAGAGGCAAACAGAACCCAGACAGCTCCCAATATTGGGTAAATTCCTACTATCAAAGAAACATGGATGGAAGTGATAGTATGCTTTCAGAAAGAATGCAAAGAATGATACTAAAAGGGTCTGAAGTGTGGAAAACAGACAAAGCAGCCCATAACCACTAAAGAACATTCCTCTTTGGAACGTGTAAGAAATCCAAGGTTTCTTTATTATTGTCATACCACTTTCTACTGGTACAACATAAAGCATAAATCTATTCCTATCTTACACCTTATGCAAGTATGTATTACTGCTTATTTTGTGTATGCCATAAAGCTATATATAAAATACATAAATCCTATTTATATTTTTACTTAGCATATCAATACTTTCATAGTACTTTATACCCTGCAAAATCGGAGCAGACTTTTGTGGGCACAAAAGCCCCCAAAGATAAAACTGAAAAAAAAAAAAAAAACCCAAACCCAAAACTAGAAAAATTCTAATTTATGATTCAAACGAATCCCAGATGCACTTAAAGAAATGCTCCCTCATTTTATTCTTTTTAACATGCTCATACCAGAAAACGTCAACGCAAGCTTTGACACAGCCAGAAGCAGTCCCCCAATGAGGAGCTTTAATGGAACATTTAGACCCTTCTTTGTAACAGGAAACATCAGTGATCCTCATTCTTAATACAGTATTTAATTCTCTATTGGCTAATCTCAAAATTAACAGAATTTTCTTCTGCTTCAGTAAACACTTGAGATCTACTGAAGCAGCGGACATACAAGATTTTAAGTCCGCACAAAGATGATAGCATCATCTCACTTAAAACACCTCAAAATTATTTTAGAATTTTGCTGGGGTTTGTTTTTTAAAGAAAAACAGTGCTGCTCCAAAAGCATTTTCCAATTCCAATGCTGTTTGCAAATTCATACTGATATTTCTGCAATGAAGATGTGAAGTAAAACCGATCCTCTTATTGTTATTTAAGCTTTAAAAGCTGCAGACATTAATGAAAAAAAAAAGTTTCAACCCAATTATGGCAACTACCACAATTTCACAGACTGCAGGTAAGTTTCCTATTGTACTAAGTATACTTTTAATAACATCCCAGTGCAATTCCATCACAATTATTACTAATACCTGTTTCACTTCTGTAAAATTACTTGCATTATATAAAAATTACCACAATTTAAAATATGGAAAATTAAAGAAACACTCACACTTAAATTGAAGAAAATAGGTTTGGGTTCACTGAGCTTGAAAGGATGATTATAGAAAGGACGTTCTTCTTCCTCTTCATCAGAAACATGAGGTTTGTTCACTATCACATCATCTGTACTTTGAGCAATCTTCTTGCATTTCTAAAAAAAAAAAAAAAAAAAAAAAAAA